CATCACACACATGCATGCTTGCTAATGTGAACCCATTTTCTTCAGGCTGGCCAGACTAAATGAGAATCTTTAATATCATCCCCTTACTTCTGAGAGCATCATCTCCACCAGAGTCATTTTAGTTTTGCATTCTGTAACATCTGAAGGCCTCAACATCTGTTAGCCTATTTTCAGTCCAAACACACACACACACACACAGACACTCACACAGTCTATGTCAGAGCCACACGTCTCTAGACAGCCAGAAAAAAAACGTTTTTACCTCCAACACTTCATTGGGCCGGACCCACACAGTGTAATTATCTGATTAAAATGGAAGTGTTGCCCAAACTGCTGTGCTTCTTGTCTAATTATTGTTGTAGTATTAGCTGTTCCACGGACACGGCGAGTTCTCATGAGGGCGTATCAAGGAGCATGTTTTCCTGGAGAGGGTGGGGACTGAAGTGGTTTTAATTTGGGTTTCTGGCTCGGCTGAAACCCCCAACCACGCTGGCATTTTTTTAACAAGAATTCCTCGAATGGACACGTTGGCAGGCTTGTTACCAACAGTTCAGCAGTTCATGGATGTGTTTGTGCGATTGTGACTCTTGTGTTTCCTCTGCCCAGCTGCCCTACCTGCTGCTGAACTCCACGGGCACAGACCCAAAGACCCGCATGCATCCTGTGTTCTTCGGAGAAAGCATCGAGGTCAACCCCAAACCGGAGCAGGAAATCAAGTAAGGGAACTTTGAAGCATAACGACAGAGGTTGATATTTGGAGCCTAATTGTCTTATTTTTGATAAATAACACATTCACACAAATATATACCTTTATTTATTCAAAGATATGTAATATTACATCTCTGTGACTTTTTTAAAACTTTGCCAATATTGCTCTCAAAATCACGTGCAAAACGTGCATTTTAGTATACTTATCTTACTGAAATAGTATTAGCATAACATACATTTTGTACCCTTGATGTTATTCTCATGTTGTCATAATATTGTAAGAAAAAAAGGGTCTTACTCTTTTCTACGCTTTTTCTATTTTTCGCTTGTGTTTTTATAACTTCCTATACACTTCATATTTTTACCCATATTTTTTTATTCTTGTATTAATCTGGCACAAGAATTTTCTTCGGGATTATTAAAGTAACATTTGATCTTCTCTCTTAACAACACTGCCACCTAGCGGTCAACTTTAGCTGCCTATCTAAAAACGTGTCCCCCTCTTTTTCCTTACAGATGCAACTCCGAGGTCAAGTACGACTCGGACAAGCACTACCAGGACCAGGTGTACTGCACCCCGGTTCCCACGCCAACCTCCTTCAGCGAGACGGTGGTGGCAGTGAGGAACTGCACCTGGAGGAGCTACAAGTCCCAAGTTTACCTGGAGCCGCGGCAGAAACCCATCAGCTACCGAAGCACCACCATCATCTACCCGAAGCACGCCAAGAACACTTACCGCACCACGCTCAACTACAACGCCACGGGGTCCCGCCGCTGGTTCGTCTCCACGGTGAAGCTGGAGTCCAGTGAGGATACTAGTCCCTGCATCATCTACACAGAGGACCTGTAGGGCCCACAATGCACTGGGAGAGGGCTACCTGGTGATTGTATCATTTGTTTTTGAGGACAAGGAACTTGGGGAGGCCTATATTGAAAGGGAAATACTTCAAGTAATACCTGAAAAACCCTGCTGTGTTCATCTTTACTCGCCATGGAGGAGACTGTTTATCGACATTTCACCTGAGTTTTTTTAGACTTTCTACTGATGCAGTCTTTAAAAAGAGTCTGTCCTATGGCAGTTTATCAATGGTTAATGTCTTATTTAATACAAGAGCTGACAAATTGGCGGCCTTTCCGGTTGGATGTAACCTCAGTGAAGGTGACGGACTGTGTTAGTAGAGAAAAGTCGAGATGTGGTGGATTTCAGCTCCGAGCCAACCGAGACACGCCAATGCAAAGCTTTCTAATATGGCTTTATTGCACTTGTTTTCTATATCAAAGTCCTCCCAGTGGACTTGAATTGCGGGGGTGGGGGGATTTCAGCATGTGAAAAAAATTGGACCAAAGTTTATCTCTTTGTATGACCTCCACACTCTGAGACAAAACGCTTGCTTTTGTTGTACAGCGTAAATTAACACACATTAAAACAGCAGCCTGTCTAGATTAATTAATAATTGAATTAAACTCAACTGCACATTGCAAAGTCTTGTTAAGTTCCCAGAGCTGACTGTATAATTCAAACTAAAGTCTAATTAAAAGACAGCACAATAACATCTGATGCCTTGAGAATATTTGAAAAAAGGGAGATATTTAAATCCTCTGAAAACTTGGTTTCAGATCTTTGTAACTTCACAGCCACGGTGGATCACTTATTGTCATAGATTAAACATCTGTTAAACGTAATGTTTGTTAACATTTGATTTGAACACTTTAATTAAGATAGTGAAAGGGTGAAGGGTTTTGGTAAAGAGGTTCTTGTTAGCTGGTTCAGCTGCAGATCAAAAATCAATGAAGTTTGGAATTAAAGAAGCAGCGTTAGACATTATTTATTAAAAGTTGAACACTTAAAAACTCAGTGAATCTGCTTCATCAGGAACACACATGATCAATGGTTACAAGGTTATTGAGAACATACAGGTGTATTTCAATGCCAAAGACTGTGCATGTTTTTTAGTTGTTTCAGTCAGTGTAACTGCTTTGGTTTCAGATGGTTTGAATATTTAAAACACTTCTCTGTCACAACACAAAAACAAGAACTATTTCCAGCTGTAATTGACTGCTTTTAATGCTTCAAGGGTTCAGCTTCAAAAAAGACAAACACAATTGTGATTATTTGGCACCAGCTATTTGTAAATACATCAGTTTATGAAAAGTTGTTAGTGATTTACTTAATTATTTTTGCATAATTAAAACTTAAGGAGTGTCTTAGCTTTTAAGTCATTTTCCAGAAATCATCTGGAAATGTCACTGTAGGGTCATACAATAATACATTGTTAATGTAGGTGATACTCTTTTATTTATCAGTGTAAACATGGATAAATATGTGTTTTCAGTGTCATGAAATATCCAACTATGCAAACCTAGCTAATGGTATTAGGCGTTTTAGACATTGTTAACAGCACGTCAAGTAATTTTAGCCATGTTGTTATTTATAAAAAATGATTTAAATATTTCAGGATAGATGTTATCTTTTATCTTGGTCATATTTAAGCAAGCTTTGTCAGTGAGCTAACGTTATGTAGCCTACAGCAGCTACAGCTGACAGTCACTGGGCGAACATATCTATTAACCCATTTCTACTTAAAAACGACTTTATTGTCAAAGAACCCTTCATAATTTAGTGATGTTTACATCTACACCTAGTCCGAACTTCCTTTGTAGGGTTGAATTTACAAATAGCTGGTGCAGACGAGCGTTTAATGCTGTTTTACAGATATCAACACATTGTCATATTGAAACCACATCAGATCATCCTGTTGAAGATGTAAAATATAAGTTTATTGAGCATTTTTTGTGACTTTTTTGTGTCTGTCTTATATATATATTTAGATTATTGAACAAGGACAATATTGAAACATCAGACTTTACCTCAAATTTTCCTAGGTATCCATTTTACTTCATTGCAAATGTGTTTTTCCGAATTTCAGTTGAGGTATTGATCGCAGTCTTGGTTATGTTATTGTTTGAACAACCCTCTAGGAAAGTGTAAGGGTAGGAGATACATGGAGGCTTTATGGGGAGGGGGTGCATCAGTACTGTGAGATGGGTACTGGGTTTTAATGAGGGAACAGTAAGTAATAAGCAAAGAGGGGAACATCAGATCTGCTCTTTCAAAAGGAAAACTGTAGATGAGATGATAAAATATTCTGAAGATGGCTTTTTAAACTAAACAGTAAAGTTATTGAAAGATGACGGAGAGTTTTGCTATGTGTAGATGGTCTGTGAAATGTCAGAAAGTCGGTGGGTGTCAAGTTTAATACGTTGGTGTTTTTATGTGAGATACTTGTGTTTCCTAACACTTGATTTTGTTACTGTACATTTTTTTCCTGTTGTATATGTGGCATCAAGGCACTTCATATTTCTCTTTATATTTTTGTACGTCAATCGATCGTTCTAGTTCTGATTAAAGAAAATTATTTAAAAAGATGTATATCCTAAATGAATAAACATTGCGATTCCTAAAACCTACTTCTGTTGTGTTGAATACATTTGTTGCTAAACAGTACATTGTATTTGCCTGCTTAGCAATGCTGTGATGTCGTCCATCTCGGGGTGGAAGAAATAAATGGTGTGAATGAGTTCATTATTCAGTCATTAAGCTTTTTCTCTTCTTTACATCACAGAGAAGTCCCCACAACATGGTGTTTCCTCTCATGTCCAAACACAAGGTAGGAAGGTAGGAATCACTTACCTAAGAGATGCTTTACTTTCGGAGGTCTTTACTCAGGACAAAGCACTGCTGCAGAAATAAAAAAGCTGATTATTAGCAAACAAAGACACTTTTTGTTTTGAGGTAACACAACTTCAATGGTTTAGACTGAATATAAGGACGCTGTTCGATGATGTAAATTGGGAAAAGAAGGCTGATTACATCTTATTACACCTTCACTGATGAGATACATTAAAATGGCAGAATTAAGATGGATAAGGAATGTATTTTGTCCTTTTAATATTACTCAATTCATACAAACGTATCAGTGTTTAAGTTCAGAATTCTGTGTCAAACACATTCAACATATAACCGTTACAAAAAACTATGCTTGTGCTGCCCCCTTGTGGTACCTGACCTGTCCTGCAGGGCTAAGACAGACAGACAAACAAATCAAAAACAATAAACAGCAGCAAGTCTAAATATCGACATCGTAAAGGACACGAACCACAAGAATACTCAATATAAAATGTTTATTTAGACTGTTCCACAATATATGACTAAGTGGACAAAGTAAAAGTGTGACTCTGCAGAAATCCAATAGAAAACACAGAGCATTAAATAACATGACGCCGAGACCATGAATGGCAATAAGCTTTTTATTTAAACATTAAGGCAGTGTCTTTTTTGTTTTTCATTTTTACACTGCTATCCACAAAGCTTGCTGGTGGGCATGTAGAATTTAACCATGTGAATATTTATTTTATTTTTTTATTTTTTGTAATACCAACCTTGAAGCAAGCCACATAAATATTTACATCTCTTCAGTTTTATATACAATCCTTGCTATTATACAGTGGGTTATAATAAAAAAAAATCATTATGCACAGAATGGTTGAACAATGTACTGTTTATGTCGATCCCCCCCAACCCCCCCTTGACAGTCCAGGGAACACATCATGAATTGAACTCCGTCTCTTCACGTTTTGAATGATTACTTGAGATTTGTGACGTGACGGAAATTGATACAAACTGTAAGAACAATGAACCAAATGGATGCATGTTAAAATTTGTTTCAGTATACTTTTAAAAACAATGTTTTAGTCCGACATCAGTTTAGGGAACAGCTGGATATGGCTTAGTCTGTTTACCGTCACATTCTTCAATTTCATCAGTGGATATATACGAGCAGAAACCAATGTACAAAGCCTGGCTGTTTTTCTGCCATGCCTGCTGAAATTTAAAACCCTCCTTCAGTCTTGATAGAAAATGAAAACAGGCCGAAAAGATGGCTGAGCTTTCTGCAGGTGTGGCAGGTGGGATGAAGGAGGAAGAGGAGGTAGTCCTTTAACAGTCCTGTTTGTGAGAATCAACGGTGACCAAATGAGCGAGAGATGGAGAGGTAAATCTTCCTAAACCCACTGACCGAGCTCACTGTCATCGCCGCAGTTTTTCAGTCAGAGGACAGAGTTCGTCCCTGGTTGCGCAAAGTCACAAGCCGAAAACATTTCACACATCATTTGCACAGAGGGCGACCTTTACAATGCTGCAGTAAACTGTGACAACATGTCAACTCGTGTTACATAAAACAACCAGAATGCTTTTGAATGCCTCCCCCCCACTTCTTCTGAACAGTACAAACACAGCAGATGCAATGAAGTACACTTGAAGCATGACATGGCCCGGTTAGCTGTGACACAGCATCAGTTTGAAGATGAATCCAATAAGTGAAACAGTTAAAAGCTAAGGCTGTGATGGATTTTGAAGTAAAGAAAAAATGCACACAAAAAGTTTTTTTTTTTTCGTTTTTTTTTTTTAAAAGAGGACATTTTTCCTTTTGCGGTTTTGCTTTATCATAATTCCCTGCTTGGACAGTATTAACTGTCATGGGGGGTTAAAAGAAAAATTGTGCGTCACTTGGTAACTTCAGTACTGTATATGTAAAATAAATGGCACTTAACACTAGGAATATCTCATAACTGTACAAAATCTGCCAGGGTGAGGAGTCGGGTCTCAGCTCCCCCTCTAGGCAGTAAAAGGTCAGAGGTCAGACCGTCACAACAGCTCCTAGACAGGATGGCAGCAGGCCAGCTGAAGCTGACACCGCCATGGACCAAGGGTTGTAGAAAGATGGCTTTTTCACCTCTCTTTAATGCAGGCAAACTCCAAAGTGATGCTGAGGAGCTCGCCTTTAAGCAGCTTTAAGGTCGGTCTGCACCTGCTCGCAGCGGCTTAGTCCTCGTTCACTAAAATGTGATTGTCGCTTTGAGTGTGGGAGCGATAAAGAATATCGGTAGCAAGACCAAAATAAACAGATTAAAGGATACAGTGGGATTTATACGCTGTTCTTGAGTCCATTTTGCACCTGTCCCAGGAAACAGAATCTTAAAAATGCCATTGTGAACAGACTGACTACTAAGTGCTTAATATCCAAAAAACTTTCAACAAACACAGACATGATTAATATAAAAACAGTGAGAAAGTGTCACTTGTTTCAGTGCCATCCGTCTGGCAAATCATCTCTCCCCTAGCCTGAGATCAACAGGCCTTTGCTGTTCCTCAGGATCCCCCCCCCCCCCCCCAATATATGACGACATCAGCAATGAACAGCATGTTTACCCTGTAAACCAATGATATGACCCTCCCCGCATAACAATCTCTGTCCCCCCCCCCCCCCGGCCCCAAAAAAGATACATCATTGCAGATAATAGACAACAAAATGACACCATCAAAAGTTCACCATCAAAATGTACTAAAGGTCTCAGCTCACGTTCCAAACACAGGACTGGACTGACTGAATTTAAAGAAGCAAAAGAAAGAACCGAAACAAGAAAAACGAGATGTTGATTCTCCTCCCGTCGCCTCGCACGTGTTCTTGTAGTGGCAGCACAGGCCGCCTGCACCGTGAGAACTCCAGAGGGTCCTCAATGCGGGGGCCGCTGCTCTCAGGTCAGATCTGCGCCACAGGGGCCGTCGACAGACCAACAACACGACCCCGGGGTCTCTTCCACACAAGTGTCAGCACATCCGAGCGGAACACCCAGAAGGTGCAGGTTCATGTGTCTATATCGATAAGGCCAGTGAGGAAAAGTAGTAAAGTAAAGTCAAAACAAAAAAGAGAAAACAAAAAATAAGTGATTTGTCCTTTAGGGTAGTCCTGGAGTGAATGCATAACACGTAAGTGCAAACCCACACACACATAAACACACACACACACACACACACACACACACACAAACACACGGAGCAGCAGTGTCTCGGCTCATCGCTGCTTTGCATCTCGTTGTGTGTTAGGAGAAGGACATGATCCGACGGAGGAGGAGGAAATGCAGAGTGGAATGGTGTTGGTAGGTTTGCAGGTGTGTGTGGGTGTGTGTGTGTGTGTGTGTGTGTGTGTGTGTGTGTGTGTGTCTGCAGCAGCAGAGCGTTGGTTGACTGTTAGAAGATTCTTGTGGTTCGCGGTCACTCGCTGTCAGACAGGGTCTCGTACTGAGACATGAGCAGAGGCTTGGGCTCCTCCTCCCAGGAGCGGCCCTGTCCAGGCCCCGGTACCGGGCCCCCCAGCTGACCAGAGGAGGGGGAGGGGGCGGACACTGTCCCGCTGGGGAAACGCATTATCAACGGATTACAGGGGAAGGGAGTTGGAGTCGAACCTGCAAAAGGCAGAAGGACAGAATTGTTATGCTGAGTTAAGCACACTTTCCTCTTTCCAAGCAACCTTACAACATATAACTGAGGTTAGAATAGTTTACAATGTTTTCTTAGTTTTCATTTTGAAATCTAAAACCTCAATTTTAGATTTGACTTTTCAAGTGTTACAAAAATAACCTTGCAAATATTTGTCAATGAGTTAATAGTGAGTCTTCAGAGGGGGGGGTTTGCTACCTGTGGATGAAGGCCGATCCTCCCACACGCGGTTGGTTAGAGGAGTCCTTCGGTTGCAGTCTCCCTCAGAGTGGACTGAGGACACGGAGGAGGGTCTCTCCCCCCCCGACAGACCCGGTCCTGGAGATTTAGCCTTGCGCCCATTAGAGCGCCCGCTGCCCTTTGAGGACTTTCCACCACCTGCACACAAAGATCACAACAGCTTGAACCCTCAGTGTTACAATCCAGTGCAAACTATTTCTGTTTTGAGCTATGTTATGTTGCTTTAAGAGAAAAGACACAGTTGCGATGCGGTCCTTTAACAGCCAATAGGTCACTGACTAAAGATCTCAGCTTGGTTGTAAGAAACTAAAATATGTGATACAAAGCTGGGGCAAACACAGAAACAATTGAAAGCCTTCAATTGCACCTTGGAGAACAACACATGCAAGAATATATTGGCGTGAAGGAGACATTAAAATACAAAATGTCTGAGGGGGTTGCACCTTGTGAGAAGAAGTCTTCACCACGTCCGTCGGCTGCAGGCACCCCCCCCGAGCCCATCAGGTTGGAGGGAGAGCGTTCCTCAGGCTGATCGTCATATTTGCCCATTAAGGCCTTTCTTATAATGGCCTCCAGGCCTATGGAGTTACCGGGTTGCTCTGAAGCTGGATGGGGGCGGGGAGCCACAGGTCCTGTGGAGGAGGAAGTGTTACACAGGTTAGAGGGAGAGAGGGACTGAAGCACAGAGTGGTAACTGCTCAGGCGTCGGTGCAGGGGTATAAACCAAGGGGTGAATGTCTCTCGGAAGTCTTGCAAGTATCAGATGTCACAAGTGCCCAGGCAATGAACTCATCTGTGTCATCTGATAACGCAGGTCAAGTTCATTTCCTGTGTAAACGCCACCTTTCACACAACCTTAGAACCTCAAATTATTTCTGTACAAAAGCTCTACTGTAAACACAAGCAGTCGGGTAGGTTATTAAGCTAAACAATGTTCAGGATAAGGGCGGGGATGTGGAAAACTGCTACCTTTTTGGGGTAATTTAGCTTGCTCCTTGTGTTAAAAGTACTTTTGCAGTAGTAAGCAGTTTTTCTTTCAAGCAAGTAAAGCTCTGCAACTAAACAACTCATGCGGTAAAGTCCAGGTTGTTAGGCTACAGATTATGCTGCATACATCCACTGTTGTGCGTCATAAAAGGCAATTCTCTCACTATAAATCAATATAATAGTAGATGAGGTTTAAAAACATTACCTGCATTTGTTGACGCTGGCATATTGAAGATTTCTGTTCCTGGTTGACCAGCATCTGAAAGTGCCAACAGGTTTTTTTAATTAAAAGTCCATTATTTGTTCATATTTTGAATTGTGCACTGTTGCCTGTGCCGAGGTCAGACTTACTGAAATCACCGTCATTTCCCACCACCGTCATCTTCTTAATCATCTCCTGTTTCTTTGACCTCACAATATCCGAGGTGCTCTCGGTCAACTTGCTGAAGAAAGCCGGAGGCTGCGAGGTGTTCGGAGGGGAGCGGGAGCCCATTCTACAAGAGAGGAGAGACACAATGAGATAAAGATTTGATGCTTTGGGATTGTCGAGGCTTCCTTCATTGAAAAAAAAAAGCAGCGATGGAACTAAACAGGAAACTTCCTCAGTTTCAAGCCCCTCCCATAAGCTTTCCAAGAGAGGCTTAGCAAAACAAAACACGATAAATAGAGCCCTTTAAAAAAAAAAAATGAAATCAGCATCCTTCTCTGAAAGCCCATTAGGTCCATCTTTAACCTCAATGCAACATAGAGACATCTGAGCGATATGACTGAATTGAAAAAGGTAGTGATGTCCATGTATAAAAGCTTGCATGTTGTTGAAATAGATGTTCCCTGTCTTGTAGCATTAAAAAACTATTCGAACACTTATCTATGTAAAGATCCTACATTTCAGCCCTGCTAATCGAAATACCATACAAGCTAAGTCCATTATAAACTGAACATGTTGAAAGATAGTTTTGTAGCCGTTTGTGTGTAAATCCACAGCGCTGTTACCCTTGCTCCCCCTGCTCGCTGGAGTACGACGCCCCTCCCTGGACTTCAGGTTCAGAGCTGGCTCCAGCAGGAGACACCGGCTCGATGCCATCGTTACAAACACTGATGGGGGAAGTCTTGGGCTGAGGAGACCTGCAGAGAAAACAAAAACAGATACATTACATTAAGGATTACAATAAGACAAACAGATGAATCAGTTGTTTCAACAATGGACATTCAGGTTCATGTTCTGCTAAAATCTTAATATTTGAAACACTTCTGCATAAACAGTCTTGACCTTGAGCAGGCGTGCTACTCTAATAGTGAGCATTGTTTAATGGAAGGATTGTAAATAGCATTTGTTCTTGCCAAGATGCATGTTTCAGAAGTAGTGAGCAAAGACACATGCATTATTCTGCACGAGTTGTGTGAGAGTTTGTAAAAAGGCTTTTCCCTTTTTGTTCTCCTTCTTAAAGGTAGGGTAGGTAAGTTTGAGAAACCGGCTCGAGATCGCTAGAATTTGAAAATACACAACCGGAGAAAATCTGCCACTTCCTTATAGAGCCCCTCCTCCAACACACACGAACGCGCACATGACCAATGAGGGCACGAGATAAGTGTGTGCACAGATGGAAGGCTGACAGGCAGGTAGGCCATCCAGTTATTTTAGCCGGGCCGGCTAAAATGATTGGTCGTACTTTTTACAGTATCACAGCTTCCACAGATGACATTTTTTTATGGATTTTTGTCAAAGCACTTAAGATATTCATTGCTATCGGGATGTTAAGAGCATTCCATGGAATATAACAAAAAGTGTATCTCGAGCCGGTTTCTCAAACTGGAACTTACTTACCCTACCTTTAATTCACCATGGAAGCAAGTTTTCATCAAGAATTCAAGGTAACACAGGGCGACTATTTGATATACAAAGTGTTATATTCGAGGGAAGTAATCAGATAAGGAACATGTAGAAGAATTGCCCATCCCATACATTTAACAGTTATTTCTATTGTTCCAAAATGATTATGTTTCGCATTGATTCCTACCTGTCTCTGTTGCGTTCTCCACAGTGGGCCTCTTGATATCGGGACCCTTGGGCCGACTCTTGTGAGGTGGGGGGGAGCTGGGAGGCACTGGGGGGGCGGGTGAGGTCCAGGACAGGAGAGCCGTGGTAGCTCTGCTGCTGGCTCTGCCTGGTGTAGTCTTTAGTTATCACCTCCTGTTGGAGTCAACACATCCACATCACAAATGGGACAACGTTGGATTGCATCATTGCTTTAGTGAAGTACAAATAGCAATACCAGTGTAGAAATACTCTGTTATAGGTTAAAACAATGTTGGCATCAAATACACTACTTTACAAACAGTAATAGTACTAATTCCGCAGAATTACCCACTCTGCGTAATACAAAAAAAACTATAATTGGATTTCATTTTGGAACCCTCATTCCTCATTTTGGCTTGTGAATTTCACTGAGATCAATAAAGCTTTCTCTTCACCTTTAATACAATTATTAACCTATTTGTTGATTATATTTTTGAATTATTAATCTGAATAAGAATTTTCAAAGTGATTTAAGCTATAAAATAAATGTAGTAGAGTGAGTACAATATTTCCCAGTTGTATTGTAGTGAAGAACCATCAAGTAGCAAGGAACTAAAAACTGTTAAATAAACTAAAAGTTCCTCAAAATTGTACTTTTCAAGGTTCTTGAGAAAATATAATGGCCACCACCGTCTTTCACACATTAAGCATCATAAGGACTTGAAACTACCATCACGTTTCAACACGTCAAGCCACTTACGAAACCTGCTACATACATATTAGGATCTAAATATTGTTATTGTGTATTTTGTGCCATTTGTATTGCAGTGGGGAACTTACACTGATGTGCTGTGCCAGGGTGACCACCCGCTGGCTGCCTTTAACACTGGGGGAGGAGGGCTGCTGGCCCGGAGACAGTCTCTCCTCAGACGGGGGACGGTACAGACCGTGTGTCTCCATATTCTGTTGAGCTGTTGAACAGACACCCATACACCAATGCAGACACACGCACACACACACACACCAGAAATCACATTCAGACATTGGTAAAAGTTAGTTTTCTCTTGAATCCGTGGTGACACAATTCAAGTTCTTGAGCCAATGAGAAACATGCTTGATTCAAAAAGTGTTTGTCCACACATTAGGATTAAATGGTGGGTTGTGCAATTAAACATTTCATGTAGCATCTGCACACGATAGCTCTAAGGGACAAGCTTTCACAGAAACATACTATATGACAATGTGTGTGACAAGCTACTTCAGATATTTGAAATATTCAAAAATGAACTCTTTGCATGCAGACCAAAAAAAGACTAGCTTTGACCAGAAATGATGCTAAAATAGACTGGTTTTGCATCAGTGACTCGTAAATGAAGAAGTCGATTTATAATAGTTCCTCAATCAAGATAAGTTTAAAAAAAAAAAAGGTCACGCCTTAGAGACCAGAAGAATATAAATATATGTACTGTATCCTAAGATAAAATAAACTATACATACTAACTTAACTCAAGATACACCCATTCATGTTTACCCATACATATGTGAAATTGCTGTTGAACCTGTGTGCCTATTTCAAGACTATTCTTTCTTCCTTGTTTTCTTACACAACTCTTGCACTACAGTATTCATCTCAGGAGAGGATGATGTAAGTGGAGCAGAGCAGACTGTATGGGCCCCAGGCGAGTCCCCTAAAGGGACAGCATGATGTGGTTTCTGTTGTTAGCTAGCAATGACAAAAAGACTCCGAGTTCATTTCAACTAAAAGCTTTAAGTAATCTGCATTTCCCTCGGGCCCTGTCTACTAGTTTTTGAATAGAGGGCCACATTAATAAGTCTGTGCGGCAGTCTTGTCTGTTTTCAAAGGTATGCTTCCCATCAGCATGCAGTCTCACTTTCCCTACAGGCCCGTCATACACATTTCTTTATAACATAAAATAATCACATTCCACATGACGGACAAACTCCCAGAGGTTTGATTGAGAGAGATGTGTTGAGTGTGTGGCATGTGTGAAAAACAAAAAGCATAAATTACAGTGAACCATAAAAAGGAACATGCTGAGATTTGGGGGGCAGAAGCTGCAGTACCCCCCTTCCCTTGGATGGCTGAAAGACTTTTCCACGTCCCTCCCCTTTCCCATCCTCTTCATCACCGCCGCGCTGGGACCCCAGGGAGAGTCAGTTTGGTGGTTGGTAAGGCTTCAACGCTTCTAATGTACGGGACTGTCACTATGATTCTCTTTTTCAATTTAGTCACCTGGGTTACATGTGGTCATTGTCCAAAGTAGTGCCCAGCGAAATGTATTTCATATAGAAGTATCTACAGGACAGAGGTGCAGTAGTGAAGTACAGACACTGCATGTATAAAGTGTTTGAATTACAGGCAGTCTCATTTAACATGGGATATAAAAGCCTCCTGCCGTGAAATGCCTTTTTAAGTGCCTTAAATATTTTGGTCATGCCCACTTGAATGTGGTGAAATATTCAGTTTAAAGTAAGCAGCCGAATGGGAGGGAGGAGGGGCGCCACATGTTAAATTCGAGTCACATCCTGTGACAAAGACATCCTGTACGAAAAGAAAATGAAAATAAGCAGCAAAGGATGTTCTGCTTCAATGTCCCAACATCTTTCTTAAAATTAAACCTTAAAGGACACCTAGGATCTTCTTCATGGAAAATTAAACATGTTGTGATGTTAGTCATTATTAAATAATCAATAAACTGCCTTTATTAAATCTCAGCCCGTCAGGTCCAATTAGGACAGGCTTATTTTCCAGAGGGCACCCTCGGTGGCCTTTAAGTTTGTGAAGAAGAACTAATAAAAAAAAAGCCAAAAAGTATAGCATTGAAGGAAAAATAATGTAAATGAATTGGGCTGATTTGATAATGCCGACCACCACAGCGTGCAATAGGCCACAGACTGACGGGGGAGGGTCTGGGTGATGAGGGGGACCCTGGGATCCAGAGCGTCTTACCATCAGTGGCGCTGCTGGCAACAAGGGAGCCCGTCTCTGCCATCCCCGTTTCACAAGAAATTTGACGCATAATAACCGCGTTTATGAAGTTGGCTGCAGTCATGGTGGTCTTACCGAGTGCTCGGAGCTCTTGTTCCTGAATGGACATCGCTTTGTTTTGAGTCTTTTCCCTACTAGGTGTACCACTTTCTCCGCGGCCGGGGGGGGTTATCCGACTGGTGAGGCAGCAGGTGCTGGGGCCGGCCTGAAGGCGAGCTGTAGGACCCGGGGTACATCCCTCCTGGGCTGGACAGTTTGGGGTCAGATTTACTGGAGGGCCCGTGCTGGTCCTGCATGTGCTTGGGTAGACCACCCCTGTTTTTGCCTCCATCGCGACTCTGCTCTTTGGCTACACCCGAGTCCATGGCAGGTTGGTAGGCCTCAGGGGGGACACCTGTCCTCTGGAGGTGGCCAGGGTAACCTTGGTAGCGGGCCGACCCGGAGGACATGGACCTGGCAGGCCACAAAAAAACATGCTTAGTAAACAAGAAAATCAAAATCCTTTTTAAAAGAGAAATTAGCTCAGGCAAATATCAGTATTTTGTCAGCAGAACTGAAATGTAGTTTACCGAAACACAGAGGAGCCGGAGTGGTCGCTGACAGAAAGACTCTTGCCCCCGGTGTTGTGCAGGACGCTCGGCCTCTGCTGCACGTTGTCCTGGGTGCGAGGGGACACGGGGGAGTGCTGGTGGCTGTACGGTTGGGAGGAGGGTCTCACACTGCAGCTGCTACTGCTGGCCAAGCTGTGCTCTGTACCTGAGGGGAACAAACACATTCATTTTCATTTACCAATGCATCTTTCCCTTATTCCCAACACTTATGTTCATTTGAACTTAGCCCCCGTTTAGTTTAATTCATCAAGAACTCTCAAATGTTGTATTCTTTGTTCACTATTGGGGCATGCAAGAAAAGACAAGATTCCTTCATAATTCAAGGTAACATAAGGGTAAGTTATTGATATACAAATGGTCATTTTGCAAGTAAAGTCATCCTTCTACAGTTTGATTAATGTCCATAATAAAAACTTAATTGATTTGTATTCATATTAATGTAATGTTATCTTTCTTTGTAAGCATAAAAATAAAAGCACACCTGGTCTCCAGATGGGCGCGTGCTCCACATTCCCCATAGACCCGCCCTTCTCTCGGTCCCGGTCTCTGTCCCTTTCTCTCTCCCGGTCCCTTTCCCTCTCTCGGTCTCTCTCCCGCTCTCTTTCCCGATCTCTCTCTCGGTCGCGTTCCCGGTCCCTCTCTCTCTCCCTCTCTCTGTCACGCTCACGGTCTCTCTCGCGCTCCCGCTCTGAAGATGCGCCTTGCATCTTGTTCATGTGCACGGAGCCAACTGTACAGAAAAAGGGAAAACAAATTATTGTAAAAACAACACAACTGCAACACATTTATCAGAGACAGCTTTGTTGTGAACAGAATCGTACCAGGTGAGATGGGGGAGGTGGTGTAAGGCCTGCCAGGGAAGGAGGCTGCTCCCCCGGGGATGTAGGTGATGCGATCCATTGGGCCGCCGGCGGCCCCTGCAGAGGGAGGGACCAGGACAGGTAAGTGTGGCACCTGAGAAAGATCGATGATTCCTAGGGGACACACATTTAAGAAAGTTATAGAAGGATCTGGATGTGTTGTGGTAACGGATAAATAAAGTTCCCATATTGATCCACATCACAATATTTTATTTCAATTGGTTGGAGGTTTTTCTTATATTATGAGGGAAACAAAAATATGGTTTGAGTTTAACACCAAAAAGATTGATAATAATGGATTGACTAGAAGGCGAGACTCTTGTCCTCTTCTTTACTGAGCATTTCAAGTCTCTGATGAATGATGCAAGTCATGTTCCTATAAATACTTGCTATTGTTGTCCATGTTATTTGTATATATTAATCTTTCAATTAAATTGTTTACTTATTAAAAGGACAAATGGATGATAACTGCTGTTGCAAGTTGATTTATTTGGCGCTTAGCCCGATAAATATGGGCTCAGAACAGTCTCATAATACACACATGCACACAGAAGGATTCACACTTGTATTTCATGATCCGCAAAAGGATTCACACTTGTATTTCCGGATCCACACTTGTGTTTTTCAATGCACACACAAATGTGTTCCGTTTCATATACATTTTATATATGTATTTTTGATCCTCACATATTTGTTTTCCGTTTAAATCCCCTGAACCTACAAACACAAACCGCTTTCTGTGCATGGATCGCTGTGCATTCGTGTGTGGCTTTTTTGAGACTCCCCTGACGGTCACCCGATTCGTACTTGTAATTTTTTCTATCTATCGCCAATCAGATGTCTCCTCAATTCTAAGCCAATCACATGAGCGCGCCCCCACGAGGGTATGATTTCTTGCGTTCATGACACTTCATATACGCATTTTGCGCTGTCCGGAGCAGGGTTTCCGCAGACAGAATTGAATTTTGCCGGACAAATTTGAAACTTACCGGTCATGTTTCAATAATAATAAGAATAATAATAAGAATTGTGTAGCAGAGTTTCCGTTAGCAGGTAATTACCGGACTATGACCGGATATGGCTAATAACACGGGAGTAAGGATCATCTCTTTTTTTCCTCTCTCCCTCCCTCTCTCCTGACAGCCCGTCAGTTTCTCATGCTGCTTGCTAAAACTTCACTCACACTTATGTCCATATCGATCAGATCCAGCTCTCCTGATCGGCCTTTATAGAGAGCACCGATCAAACTATTAAGAGTGAATATCGGCCGATAATGACCGGCGGGGCTCCCCCCATTGACAGTTCACTGTTTAGCACTGGCTTCGTAGTGCACTGATCGATTAGGCTAAGCTAACCTGTAGCTGCTCCCTCCACACTCACAACAACTTCATACAGACATAAATAAAGCAGCTGTATTCGCCATACAGGAAACACACATTTAAAACGGTTTTGCCTGCCGTTTTTATGTACACAAGCATTCATTAATGGTTCGGAAAGTGGCACTGTACCTTAACAATATAAAGGCTTGTATCTGCGTGCATTTCCTGTTCGGAAAGTGGCAATGTACTGAGAGTGGAAGTGTCCTGAGATTAGCGCCTGCAGGCAGGCTCCATGGACCTGTCAGCTCCGGACAGCGCAAAATGAAGCGCTACGTCATGAACGCAAGAAATCTACCCCCGTGGGGGCGCGCTCATGTGATTGGCTTAGAATTGAGGAGACATCTGATTGGCTATAGATAGAAAAAATTACAAGTACGAATTGAGTCTCAAAAAAGCCACACACGAATGCACAGCGATCCATGCACAGAAAGCGGTTTGTGTTTGTAGGTGCAGCGGTTTTAAACGGAAAACAAATATGTGAGGATCAAAAATACATATGTAAAACTTTTTTCTGTATTTGGATTTTATTTACATGTATATGAAACGGAACACATTTGTGTGTGCATTGAAAAACATAAGTGTGAATCCTTCTGTGTGCATGTGTGTATTATGAGACTGTTCTGAGCCCATAGATAAATGACTCAGTGAACACTGACGACAACCAACTGTCCCATAATTCACAATGCTCCCTCCTCCAGCATCTTTTAAGTGTTCCCCACAATTGCTTACCAGAAAAAGGCCACCAAAGCTTGGCATAGAACTTGCAGCTAAATAAGAATAGATAAGGTATAAGATGGATATAATACAAAATATATAATAGATATAGAAGTGTGATCTAAAAAAGCAATCTAGTAATCCATTATCCACCAGAATTGCAGAGGTAGATACTTGGTCATGTGGGCCATTCATGTTTCATCCTTTATATTTCATCTTACAGGTGATTCTGTTATTTCAATTATTCAGGCAACATGCTGTTTCTTAACAATGGTTTCAGCTCCCAGCAAACTCCATCTTTATGTTTGTGCTGGGATAGTCTTAAGTTCAACTAAAACAAATAGATTTTGAGAGTGAAGACAACCTAAGACTCAAATGTCAGTAGGTGTTGTCACGTCAGTTATCCTTACCACGTGGGGCTTGAGAGTAGGGCATCTGAAGGGGCTGGTCTCGAGGGGTGAGGCCCCTCAGCAGGTCAGAGCGCTGGGCGGCCATGGCAGCCGCTGCAGGCCACTGGTGCATCTGCTGCGAGGTGATGTAGTCGTTGAGCAGCGTCTGGCGGTTCTCCAGGGCCGTTGTGTCGGGAAAGCCACGGATGAGGTAGGGGTAGGGGTGAGGGTACGCTGGGTTGGGCGCTAGGTGGCGAGGCAAGTAGTAGGCCGCTGTGTATGAAGAGTTAAAAAAAAAAGTCTGTCAGGAAATGTCTGTCATTTGAAATCCAAATGATTACAGGCCATACAGCTATATCCACTTATTTGTATTGAATAGATGTTTTCTCATGAGTGTGTGGCCGTGTACAGACTAGGCCTAAGTAATACCTTTCTTTGTCTACTTTCAAATGTCAGACTGGGAACATTTTTGCAAGAATCTGTTATTTATTTTCCTTTTTTTGACTACGTGGCACGTGCTGTACAACGGTACTCTGACTGCAACAGCACATAGGTCTCAATTAAAGGAGAGATGTTTTTTTATAAACAGGGACAGACAGGGACAAGAAAGCTCAAACTTGTTATAGCAGAAGCCTGATCAGAGGCCTGTACTACGAAGCCGGTTCAACATAACCTGGATATGTTTGAGTTACCCGGCTTACCTAATCCAAAACAAACGCGCTCTCGCTAAACAGTCCTACGACACTGGTTATCAACTTGTTAACTCAAGCCAGCTTTGCCCCATCTAGTTATGTGCGCGTTCACATAAAAGGGGCGGGGTTAGCAACATTTGACCAATCACAAACATGGAGAAGTGCATTGACAGCGCAGCGTCATACTTCCTGAAGAAAAGTGAACTTTAATATTAGTCAAATATGAAGAAGTTAAACTTTAAACATCCATGACTTAAACACTTTATCCAGGATAAAAGCCACATAGCTGCACCTGCAAGGTGAATATAGCTGGTAACAGAAAAAGTGTTTGAATGCATACATTAACAGGTTTATGATATCACTGCCCCGTCCAAGATACGAGTGGATCTGACTTTAATTACATTTGACTCGAGTGTTTCGTCAACTTAATGTGTTGCTTAAAATAATACTTCTGCATACAGTATGTGACACTGTGAGTGTTGCACGGCCAGATACGGCTCAAGAAGCTGACTCAAATAAGGAAATATATGATACATTATGATGTGATATGATATGAATGATAATGGCACACACATCGACGTCTGCACTCAGTGCCGCGGACTGTACGTAATGTTACTCTGATCCGGTTATTATGTTAACTTGTGGCAGATATTTAAGTAAGCTTTCTTAACTCTAATGTTATAATAGTCAGATTGCTCTGAAGATGGGAGGTGATATTCTATTAATTTTCACGTTCACACAGTCAGTTGATTTTTGCCGGCCGTCTTTCCTGCAATGGCAGTTTTTCTGTATTTCCTTTCTCTTGTAATATGACTAGTACAGGCCTCTGGTCACAAGAACATTGTTTTCCATCTAAGTTGTGTCTGTACCTGGGTCAATGGGGATGCCCCGGGGCAGCGATGCAGGGTCGAAGGCTATGGGGATTTGACGGTACACGTCTGCAGCACCTAGACCCTGCAGCAGGCGCTCGTAGGTCTGCTGATCTGGAACACCTTGGAGCGGTGATTTGGTGGCATTCATCTCTCTGGGGGTCGGTGTGGATTTGCGCTCCTGCGTCGGATTCTTACTTGAACCTTAAAGAAAAACAAGGAAAAATAATTAAATCTACAGCTTTGGTGAGGTGAAGGGTGACCTATGTTATTCCAAAGTATTGTGTTGACTTAGACCCACCATCATGTTGCCTTTGGCTTGCCTCCCTGGACAGAGGGGAGCCACGGTGCGAAGGCCCGGGGTAAGGGGCCCTTAAGGCGGCTTTGTCCTCGTAGCCCCCTGGACTATGATGGGACTTGCCTCCCTGCTCTGACCCCAGGGTAAGGGGAGAAGAGCGAGCGATACTGCTAGCTGTACTGACAACGGCGCTGGGCCGGCCTTTTGGCGCCTCTTCGTAGCGGCCCCTTTCAGCCCGCATCTCCAGGTGTGAGGCTGGGTTGTGGTAGGAACGTGGTGAACTGGCTATGATGGAGCGGACATCGTGACGCTTCCCTGAACCGGATGGCTCCTGCTTCATGGGTGTTCCCTGAACCCAACAGGAAATGATCAGTAAAGCATAGAGGATGCCAAACATTAAGGAAAGCCTCTGCATGAGTTATCATAGTGTTTGTACCTGTGCTATGATGCCCTCCTTGCCAGGCTCCCTGGGAATGAGGTGGATGGAGCGCCCTGCCTCCTTCACTGTCGGCACCATGGAGCCCTTCATTGGGTCCGAAAGAGACCCGGGCCCGCGGGGTGGGGAGTTCTCTCTCTTCATCTGCTTAGCTTCTCTCCTCAGGTAGCCATCCTGAGAGTCTAGATGACGAGGTATACCTTAAAAAGATTTTTTTTTAAATCATGTCAATATTTTGTTTTTCTTCAAGCAAGAGTGGGCAGCATTTTCTTTTCTTTTTTGGAAGAGTGGAGTAGAGAAAGACATGAAAGACACGAGAGACATGAAGAAAGATTTTGATTGGGTTATATCAGCTCAGTTGAACCAGCAGGGGTCCTGAGAGCATCTACTTCTATCTCTTGGCAAGATGAGACAAGATGGTTATCCCACTTTACTGGTATCAGATAAACATGAATATCAACATGAAAGTACTCCTGCCAGCGGGTGAGTTCTGGTAAGCTGGCACAATCTGCTTCTTGAAAGCAAACGAGAAAAAAGGCTATCTTTCATTGAAGCTCTGCTGACTGAGCACTGGGAGGGCAGTCTGATGAAGTGGGAGCAAAATAAGCTAGTATGTTCAGGGAAAACACAAATAATGCACACAAAGAAAACAATTCAATCTGCTTTAACATTTGGATAGACTTTTCTCAACCCTTTTGTGTTATTTTGAAAAACAATATTTAGTTGGCGATTACATTTAGACTAGATGATGATTTCTAACAAAAACACAGAGAGGAATTAACTTGAAGAAAAAAAGTCTCCGATCATAAGAAAAAAATATATATATATGGAGGGAGGCAATATGTTTTATATTGAGGAGTCTTCTTACCTTGTGAGATTGAGCCACGGATGTGATGAGCATCTTTGTAATGTTGGTGGTGTGGACTGTCCCTGTCATGAGGCATGGCTCGACCAATCAGACCTGAGCAGGATGAGGAATAGTGAGATGTTAGACTATGGTCAATTAATTCATCAATAATGAGAGTTGTCATTAAACGAAGGGTAGAACCATGGTTTTACTTTCTCTCTGTGGGAGTGACAGAGTGATAAGGTTGGTCTCTCACCTTCACAGGTGGCAGCAGACAGTGAATCCCTCATAGGCAGTCCTCTGGAGATGCCTCCCTCCATAATGTCATAAGGACGCTTCAGACCCAGAAGTTCTGCAGATTGCCCGGGGCCTCTGCCTTCATCTTTAATGCTCTGAGAAGGTGGGCCTGCAAAAGACAGAGATGCAAATAGAATTTGTTTAATGATACCTCTTAGTTAAGGGATAGTACTCACTCAATGACTCAAAGCAGGTTTCCTACACTTTAAAGAATGTTTAAGACTTTTTAAAGCCCACTCAGTATTGAACTTTAGACTAACTTCACAATTATGTGTTTTCTCATACTGATATTCTGCACAAACTGTGCTGCTGTATTTGCTGTAAAGTGTCTTTACTGTAGGGTATTTTTATTATATGTACAGCACTTTGGCTCGACCAAAAATCGTTTAAAAATGTGCTATATAAATAAAACTTGATTTGATTTGAATTATGAAAATCAATTATCTTATAGTTTAAAATCATGTACAAAATACACTGTGACTGGTATGTATTGCCTGGAACCGGTTTCAGCAATGCAGCAAAATATTGTGTGAATAGCCAATTGAATTGTATTTTCACTTCCTCATGTGGAGTGCTGGAAGCATTCTGTCTTCATGTATGCTGTAGAATGCAATTTATTTGAATGTTATTTCAAACATAGATGTTGAGATGTTAAATTGAAAAGTAAGGACATTCTTTTTAAGACTTTTGAAAGATTGATTTAAAACATTTTAACACAAATTCAAGCTTTTTGATAAATAAATAACAGATTATACGGATCCCCTTGATCCCTGCCGAGGTTCAGTTATGATTCAAAGTTAAGGTCAAGTTAGAACTCTGTGATTTGTTGGGCTTGTACCTGATCTTATACAAAATGAAAGTAATGCTTGGCCATGGCATAAAACATACTGCAGCCAAGTTGATGTACTCACGGTCATATGTGAGAATGTGTCCACTGATACCCTCGTAAACCACATGGCCTTTAGATATCGCCTCATCCCGTTCCCTCTCAGCTCGGCAGGCGCTGTCCTCACTGATCAGACGGGTAATGGTTCCCTTATACAGCACATCAGCCGGTGTCCCCTGTTAAGAAAAGAGGACGGCCCTGACAATTAGCCATTTACAGACCTATTTCTGTTGGAACCACCTTTAAAAGTCACACACAATCAAGTCTTATTTTCTGCAAATGCACTTGAACTTGCCTCCTCTGGCAGCATCATGCACAGGCTGGCTGCTAGCAAAGCAAACTCCACAAAATAAATGGTATGAGAACAGTCACTGTTGTATAGCTATTTAATAAAATAAAGATGATATTTCTGTCATAAAGGCCCCTAATAAAATGAGTTAAGATAACAGCTGGAAATAGCTTTGAATAAGTCACAGTGCAGTTTAAATCAACAACACTATTATGGTCTGGATGACCAATGTAGGTGACAGGCAATTATATTTGTTTTCCTTCTTTCAGGAATGTAGACTCGGATGCAATTGGAGCCGACTGTAATGCATCCTGTGTTGCAAAACATGTATTCTGTTTCTTGAATTGTTTGTGCCCCAGAAAGAGTGATGGTACAATGGTGAGAGATTACAGTGATCCAAATAAATAAATAAACAAAAACAAACAGCTGTGAAAAACAAAGTAGTACTCTATGAAGAAGCGGAGGTGTAACAATATACGACAGGAGGCTTTGTTAAAACCTTGAGTCACATCACTCGTACCCCGAGTATGAGTCACATGTCTAAACTGTTAGAGAGCGGTGGGCGGTGAGTGGGAGACACAGTGTGCCTGAGAGACACAGTGTGCCTGAGATCACATTTCTTGTCTTTTGGTTGCAGCTTTTCCAAGAAGACACAGCTGAAGGTTGAAGGCCAGGCCAGTATGGTTATGTTTACAGGATCAGGTAGCACGGACCAGAGCAGTCCTCATGTACTCCCAAAGAAAGTGCAACTTATCTGAGTTATAATCTAGCTGCAAGCTAAACCAAGAAATGAGCTGTCCCTCGACAACGGTAACGATCATGCTTTATCGCTTTCACCTTCTCCATACTAATCCATCATGGTGGATAACAGGCCCCTCAACACTTGTTTTCCCTTGTAGGCCAGTTGGATGTGATATTACAGTGTGCATATCAATGACTTCAGACAAGAGTCTAGAGAAAATAGATACATTAAATAGGGAACAGACGCAGTACAGTGTGTACCAGATGCTAGGGTGTAGGGTTGCAACGGGTCAGAAAATGTTAGCTACATTTCCAGCACAATTAATTAGGAAAATCTCATGATTAAACAGGTTGTTTATTACGGGATTATATGCACTGCGCTCAGCTCTCCCATCACATATAAACATAATTTGCCAGCATCCCATTTAATAGGAATTCAATACATTACAACCCATTGCATTGCACAGTTCATTCTCCCATGTGCAGCTCAAACTAATGCACAGTCTGACCATGCAAGTGTTGATTGGATTATTCAATTGAATATATGGTAATGATTTGTATGATATGACCCACAGTGTTTAATTTGGTAACATCTTCTGCTAGTTTTTTCTAGCTAGCTGTTACCATACAGTGTTTCCCACAGAATTTGATTCTATTTGTGGGGGCACCGCACCCCCCCCTCCCCCCCGGCAAGAAAAGCCAAAGGCCCCTTAACCTATTTGGGTCCACCACCCCCTCAAATAACAAAATACATGCGAGTTCTTGGCTACTGTAGCAGACAACGTTCTTGTTGCTCTGTGTTGCGTTGTTAATGAGTGAGACATACCGGAGTTGAGGATCTGTGGGGTTTATTCTCCCAAAAATATAATGTACAATTTAGGCATTTAGCAGACGCCTTATTCCAAAGCGACTTACAATGACCAATTACAGGGACATTCTCCCTGGAGTAACTGAGGGCTAAGTGCCTTACTCAAGGGCACACTAGTGGTTGTGTTCCAGGCGGGATTTGAACTCGCAACCTTCCGATCATCAGCCCACCTCGCTATCCATTAGACCAAAAAAAAAAAAAAAAAATGCAAAACATTTTTTTTTATGAGATCTATTTGTGGTGGACGATATTTACTTGTGGCGGCCCACCACAAATGAATCAATGTATGGGAAACACTGCCATATAACAGCTATACCATATCGTTTTAAAACTATAACCATTTATTCTTTGTTGAAAAACCTGATTGATAATGGGTTGTTATTTTAAATCTCTGTTTGCAGATCACAACTTGCCATACCACATTTTAAAATAACATGTTTAGTACCTTGCTTAAAAGGCTAGCCAGCTAACTCACCACAGTTCACACTGTATTTGTTTGACAAATCCATCCATTCCTTTTTCAAACACATGGATTATCTCTGCTAATGAAATGTTTAAGGATTAGTTTCTATCTGCATGTGACATGTTTACTACAGCCTGCCTCTAACGAATAACCCTGATATTCACTTCCTGTTAATTTCAATACATTCCTGTTAATTCTAATGGAACGTTTCTTTCTTGCATATTCCTGGAATTTTGCAACCTTGCCAGGGTCATTTCTGCACTGTGGTTCTTATGATAAAAGAGAGAGCAGCTGCTGCTGAGTCATAAGTACACAAATCAAAGCCCAGTAACACAAAGGTGATTGTTTAACAGGTAAGGTTTTAAACGGTGTGGGCAGGGTTCAAGTGACAGAATAGATTTGTTCATGACGAGTTTTAACTATCAGAAAAAGGTGTGGAAGTGAACAACTACGACTGTGGGTTGTCTATGTACCAGCCGTTTAAGCTGCTACTATCATGAACCCTAACACAGTTTAATAGAGTCAGTTTCAGTTCACTATTTACAGCCATCAGCCTTCAGAGATAGAAATACATTTGACCAGAGAAGAAACACTTGGCAATATCATATCATTTGTAATATAACCAAAAGTATCTCCTAAACCTACATAATAGCTCAATTACAGCTGCTCATTTAACAAAACTGACCTATTTCAATCAATTTCAGAGGTTATTTAGGGGTTATTCAAACAAAAGGGGAAGAGAAACGTTTTCTGTCGTAATGCACTACTCAAATGTGAACACTGTCAGCAGAATACTCTTAACAAATGACATTCAAGGATTGCCACACACAACAGAGAGACAAAGAACTTCACATTTGGGAGATTCTGTTACAGTGAGAGTAAAAACCAAGTGTGAGGTATTATGTTTGGATCATGGTTCCCATCATCAAACTAGCAGCCGAGGAATATCTTGAAGGGAAACGTCAAGGACAAACTAACCAAAAAGTACAAAAATGTACTTCTTTACTAGGATTTCATTGAGAGAAACAACTAGACTGGCATATATCCTCACACCTGTTTTGTACTAGGGCTGTACCAACTTTCATTTTGTTCTACATACAAAGCCTTTATTGAGGTTTTTAGATAATGCTTTAACTGTCTGTTATCATGTTTTACACACCATTGCCCTAATGGTTTATCCCTTTCTTGTGCAGCAAGTTTGAGAGAAAACTGCTTTAACACTGCATTGAAAATTTTGTTTTTGTAAGGCTGGATCACAGATTAGTGTAGAATGATGGTGACAACACAGCCCCTAGTTGACCCCCCCCCCCCCCCCCCCCCCACACACACACACACACACACCACAACAGACTATATCACCCCTTGCTGATAAATACCAACAAACTATGTGCTATATGTGCAATATATAAAAGCCGTTAATAACTGTGTAATATATACCTTGCTGCTAAATCCTTAGAACTGTTACAAGGTGTGTATTTTGTAGATTGTGTAACTTGCTGCTGTTAAATACCAACCACCTATGTGCAATATGTGCTAGATGTGCAATATATATAGATGCCGTTAATAACTGTGTAATATATACCTGCTGCTAAATCCTAAGAACTGTTACAGGATGTGTATTTTTTTTAATTATGTAACTTTTTATTTTTTATTATATATTTTATTATATCATAACTTTTGTTAATGCTTAACATGTGGCTCTTTTTCCTGCTGTAACAAATGTCCCCTCCGTGGGACTAATAAAGGTATTCTGATTCTGACAATGAGTACATCTTTTTTCATCAAGCTCACCTGAGTAATGGATCCCCCTCGGTAGGAGATTGGGGAATCCTGATGCATTCTGGTCCCTGGGATGCCCTTAGTGATACTACCACCCTGAACTGCTGGAATAGAACCTGTGAAGAGAGCAAGTCAAAACAAATCATCATTAAAATAAGTTAAAGTGGAGTACAATGTAAACAATTATTGGGAATAGAAGTTGCAAAATGTTCTGCATGTTTGGCCAAAAGCATGCGATCATTGCTGGAATCAAAGCAAATACAACAGCTTGTATCAATCACGTTTCGCAATCTTAAATGAATTTAGAGTATTATTAATGATTCAAATGTTTTGTCCAAACACTATCTATGTATGTAAGAGTGAAAGCGTGGCTAAATTAACTTCTCCAAATGTATCTGGGAAAACTGTGTTGAAGCACCACTGACAGGAATTAAAGCTTTGTATATTCTCTAGTTAGCATTTACTAGTTCTGAACACATGAATCTGGGCAGTTTCTCCCATTCTTCACATCCTCTCAAGCTCTTGCAGATTAGATGAGCTTCACTAAACTCAACTCCCGATTTTCAAGTGAGATTTAACTTCAGCCTGGGCCAGTCAAGTACATTCAGGGACTCTCCCAAAGTCCCTCCCAGTGTGGTCCATGCTGTGTGTGTGCCTCAGGTCACTGTCATGCCGAGGAGGTTAATCTTTTCAGCATGACAGTGCTGAACTAAACATGTGGGAAAACTCATGATTTGACTTTGTTATTCCAGGGCGTATGGCATCTTCCTTGATAGCAAAGATGTAATCCGTTTCAAATAAATCTTTTATGAAGTGATATTTTCCAAGATTCTTTGATAATCTTTACCCACTAAACAGGAAAAGGACAAATGCAGGAGCAACGCCTCAATACCAGTTTACTGTATATAGAAATCAAATAGAACAAGATAAGACAAGGTGAGCCACCCACCACGTCCAGAGGCACCATCGTGAGGCGACCCCTGGGTTGACATGTTGTCAGCTTGAGAGGAAGAGCTGCGAGGAGACAACTGTTCCTGCTTTATCACGGGGAAAGGACCGCCTGGATAGAGAAAGAGTTGGAAACAAGGGACAGTAATGAGGAGACATGTCTATGCTCATCACAAAGTTGATGGCAACTTGCAGGAAATACAAATTAAAATTAATTGTTCCCACTGCACAATTTTACTCACCCACTTTCCTCTGATCCATCCAAGACAACCCCATCTGTGTGGGGGTCATCTTCCCGTGGTCCAGCCCATGAGCAGGGCTGTGCAGCTGCACTGGAGTGCCCTGGAAGACAAGGATTTGGTCATAATGGTGTTTTATTTGTATTGTCTTTTGTATTTTCCATGCCTGTATATTGATTTAAGATTACATGTTTTTTAAGGTAATTGCTGTTTGCCAACTATGACTTTTTCTAAAAGCCTTAGATTAATTTGTGTTGTGCTATACCTGTGTGATGGAGCCTCCTGGCTTGGAGGAGGAAATAAGAGGAGGGGGATCAGGCATCGTGAGGGGTCTCATTGCTGCTAGCCTTCCACTGTCCTGTGGCAGATTAGGCAGTGAGGGGTGGCCTGTTTGCTGGAACGCTGGAGGACAGAAGTGATTATGAGATTTGATTTTAGTTTTGGCAGAGAGAAGTGGAGGCTTTGTTCAAAGTAAAAAAAAATGTTTGTATCAAAGCTGAAGTCTTAATCAATCAACCCCTGTTTTTCGCCTGATAAAATGTTAAAGAAAGTTTTTTAAAGAAAATGTTATGTGAAATAAATTTGACTAAAATTACATTTTCGCTCGACTAGATTGACTGAAAGTTCAATATAATCGGATAACTAAAATAGCAAATTTTTGACAAGATAAAATATGAAACATTTTGACTTAAAGGTAGGTTAGGTAAAAATGGAGAAACCAGCTCGAGTGCGCTAGAATTTGAAACTACGCAGCCGAAAATAATCTGCCCCTTCCTTCAGACTTCCTTACAGAGCCCCTCCTCCAACACATACAAACGCGCACATGACCAATGAGGGCACGAGATAAGTTTGTCCACGAGATGGAAGGCTGACAGGCAGGTAGGCCATCCAGTTATTTTAATTGGTCGTGCTTTTTACAGTACTACGGCTTCCACAGATGAAATGTTGTTATGTATTTATTGTCAAAGCATTTAATGTATTCATTGCTATCGGGAAGTTAAGAGCATTCCATGAAATATAACAAAAAGTGTTTCTGAAGTGAATCTGAACTTGTCCCTACTAAAAATAAAAATAAACAAAAATTCACTTGTTGTAGACTTAATAATAAAAGACGAAGACGAAGACGCAATCTTAGGCCCAGGCCCCACGGGAACGAAAACGGGTTGTATCCGCATATTTCTCTTGCGTATAGCCCTTTAAGCTCGACGACGCCGTAACGGAACGATAGAAACGGACCCTGCAAACGACAACGGGTCCAAAGGTGGATAGATCTGGGAACGGAGCGCTCTGGGGGGTCCAACGGGGCCGTGTGGTAGCCTATACGGTCATCCGTTTCTGATAATGACGACGCAATAGCCCCGCCTCTCCCCGCCTCTGCTGCTCACCCCCGCAAAAGTACACTGCACACTGAATTCAGATTATTTATCTTTATCTCGATATGGACATAAACGCGAGTGAAGTCTAATCTGACAGGACGGAGACACGCAGCTCCTCCCGCTGTGATGCAGCGGGAGCAAAACACACACTTCAAGTCAGATCACCACCCTTAGCTATTTTAATTACCTCTCAAACTACCTAAACTAGTTATAAATATGTTTATTTTTACTGTCGGGTCACTCATTACAGGATCAGCTGCTGCATGAGACAGACACTGACGCTGTGAGAAGAGAGGAAAAAGAGACAGGCTCTGTGTATTTTATTATCATATATCATTATATCGTCGTTATTCATTTGTTTTAAAGCTCAATAAATAACAAAGAAGACCTTTGACCGGCAATTTTATAATTTTGTCCGGAAGATTTAAACTTTAACACACGTTGACCGGTGAAAAACTCTGCCCGGTTCCCTCGGCCCCCACCGCGCAGAATAAACAGAAGTGCAGCCATGACAACCATTCTTCTTCGCTGCTTTTGTGGAGGAAGTTACAGCTCCACGTACAGGCTCGGCATATGTACTGCAGCCTTTCCAGCGGTTGGATCTAAACGGAGCTGTCTCGTGTGGGAAGACACAATCCGGTGTATATTGCGTGTGGACGGAAGCTTTTTGGCGATTGCGTTTGCGTTAATCCTATGCGTTTTGCCGTATGCGTTCCCGTGGAGCCTGGGCCTTAAATAGCTGGAAAAACAAACTGGGGACAGATTAGAGGACTCACAGTTGAAGTGGAGCAGGTGCTGGTCGTGACTGATCTTGACCATGTCTCGTGGGGACATGGGATAGGGGGAGAGAACCGGACGACCCATGTTGGAGGTCCTCAGGTCGTCGGGGCCCATCGCCTGCTTCTTAACTTCACCGTGCGGAGAGAAAGACCGGGATTTTTCTGAAAGAACAACACACAAAGTCAGAACTAAAAGCAACAACATTCAGATAGACCTCCCCTAATCTAATAAGCCGTCCTTCAGCCGCCACTCACTGATGTCAACAACAACAATTGTCATCAACACCAATGTCATTGTTGTCTGTGAGCAAAGAAAACCCCTCAAGCCTCATCCCAGCCAGGGTGATATCAACACTGAATTAACACGCCAGCATACACATCAAGCGTCTGCTTAATTTATTGTACACACAGTAAATCTAACAGAGGAGGTGATCACCCTGCAGTGTGGTTAAGGTGTTATTAAATAAAAGGGAATGGTGTGGCAAGGGGTGAACCTACTTAATCCCTGCAGGAGGGTCAGTAACCACCTCTCGTTGCCTTCCAGCTCTGAAGGGACACAAACACACCACAGATCATCGCACCTCACAGATTGTTCTCTCTCACACAGAAACATGTGCTAACTACATTTGTGACCTGCTCTATCGAAATCAGTCGCATTGACCCGAAGACACATTTTGACTTGGATACACTGTTGGAAAGAGGAGATTCCTAGCTTTCTAATGATATCAAGATTGTTTTTGTACTCCAAATATTAAGCAAAATATGTCACATTATATAATGACTGTCACCGAGTCATCATTTTGAGAAAAAGGCCTTCAAAGTTTCCTCTTCTCTGGAATCCATCGATCTGATTGATTATTAGCGGAGCAAATGATCAAAATAGTCCGGAGGGAAAATATTTCCGTTTGGATTACTGGTCTGGGGGAAGCTCGCGAGTGTGTGTGTATGTGTGTGTGTGTGTTTGTGTATTTTTGCGTTTGTGTATATTGTGTTTGTTTCCCGGGGAAAACACTCAGGAGAAACACCGGCTGTTGTTATGCTTGCTGTGACGTTAAGTTACTCCGTTCTCCACTTGTAAATATGCCGTTACAAGCTTCATAGTTGTATTTATCATCTAAATTTGCCGAAACAAGTTTAATATTCTGAAAGCCAAGACTTTGTTTAATTGAAATCAGATGAAAACAAACTGTAACGGACCCTGCCGTGTTATCTATGATTACTATATGCCTTACATTCATAATTTCAGCCGGAGGGAGGGGGGGCTGCGCTACGGAAGAGCAGATTGCGAGCGAGAGGTGCCGGTCATCTTCCCTTCACAAGCTTCACAAATGTATTTATCGTGTGATTTTGGAAATAAAAGTTTCATATTCTGAAAGCCAAGACTTTGTTTATTTAAAATCAAACAAAACACCCGAACCCCGAAAAAATAGTTTTTTACGCAAATCCACGTTTATTTTGAAATGAGCCGTTGCGACTTCCGACTGATTTCGATAGAGCGGGTCACATTTACACTTTACTGCTATTTCAATATGGTGACTTTAGTCTGAGCTATCAGCCAAATGAGACTAAAAAGTAACTATAATGTAGTTTGTAAATATGTCTACACCTGCCTCTGTGTAAGGCACCCTACAAACAGCTTTTTATGCCCGTTTCCTTTCCAAAAATGCATGAGAAAAGGGTTGCTGTAGTTCACAGCTGCTGTGCCAAGATGGTTATAAAAGACCTGTCTTTGCCGGGACTGTTGCTAAAAGTCTTACACTGTGCTCTCAGAGATTCACATTCCACACGCTCACAGTAAGTGCACTAAACTAGACTATATTCCCTTCTGGGTCAATAGCAATACCAGATCATTTATCAGTTTCCTCTCCACGAGTGTCCCAGAAAAACTTGAATACCCTAAACACTAGAGACCACAGCCTTGAAGGTTATAACTTGTAGCAAGGACCAACTAAGTAAAACTAGATCAAATGCTCCTAAAACCGTATAATATGCAGCACATTCAATAACCTCCATTTTCTTTTTAACATTTCATGGGCCGCATTTAGAGTGCTAATGTTGAATCCATGTATCCTTTGAGACAACTTTAGCAATGTATCATGTTATAAACACACATACAGCCCAAAAACAAGGAATATTAGGGATCACAGATAATGAAATGATGGCTTGGGAAAAAGACAAATGCTGGAAATTGTGTGAGGTGTTCCTACATTTGTAACTTAAGCAGCTTAGAAAACAACATATATGAAAAACCATCTGACTGTGACTGGTATTTCTGTTATGCCGGAGGTGTGCGTACCATCCTTGTCGCTGGTGGAGGGGCTGCGGGGGCGCATGCGAGGACTGATGCTGTGAAGAGCCTCTCTGTCTCTCTCCGACTGCATGGTGTACGGCTGCTGTTTGCCGGGCTGGCCTGAGAGCTGCTGCTGCATTTTGACCTCCTGAGAGGACTCCCCGTGAGCCATGGTGATCTGCTGCTGGTACAATGCCAGGGCGTGGGGGGGCAGCAGTGACTTGCCACCACTCCGCTGAATGGCCTGCAAGGCGGCTTCTGGCAACTACACACAGGATGAGAGGGAAAGAAAAAAGGTTACAATCACACATAACAGAAGCCCACGCCTACCTGGCATTTGACATATGGTTAGCCACATACAGTATGTGATAAACATGATAGCTAATGAACATCTCTTGTTTCTTGGTAAGCTAAAGTTTCCCTAATGGGTGGGATCTCATTTCTTCCCCACAAAGTAATCTACCCATCAGCTTCCATCTGGCTGGCTTATTTTATACAAATATGACTAAACAATTCCACGTTCAACACCATTATCTCTGAGAGCAGAGAGACAGGGATAGCATTGATACTACTGCAATCAAAAAAGTGGGTGTGTGTCAAATCAGATTTGTTACAAAACTCCCTTATGTATGAGGGGGAACATTTTAAATAAATACACAATGAGATCCACAAAGTTTAACTAGTGACTCACAATGGGTGGTATAGCAGCAGCCCTCTGTTTGAGCTGTTTCAGGTCCAAGGGCTTCTGCAGAGGGGACGATATCACTCCATCATGAGAGTAGTTCAGTAGACTTGGCCGTGGAGAAGTGATTCTGCACAACAACAAAAAACAGGAATAAGTCACTCTTATTGGCTGTGCCCACTTTAGCACAAATACATCAACCGTCAATCTAGGCAAGGCAAGGCAATTTTATTTATATAGCACTTTTCAGCACGTGGCGATTCAAAGTGCTTTACAGATTAAAAGCAAAAGACATTTAAGAACAAATACAGCATAAATACATTATTAAAAAGGCATTTAAAAACAGGCATAAAAAGCAAAGATAATGAAATTAAATAAATAAATAAACACAGCAGGTACAGAATACATGACTAAAAAGGCATACTGTAGTGTGAGTTTGGGCAGCTCAATTAAAAGCAAAAAATAAAGACTGTCGTGCCTTTTTTATTTCCTGATTATAGAAACCGAGTTTCTCTTTATATATTTCCAAGTGAACCTGGAGATTTGTTTTTCTCCACCTGTGTTCAGCTTCGTTCAGCTTCTAGAAAATTAACTCAAAACATGGCAGAGGTTCTGATTGCGTTCAAATCCATTCACAGGCACAAAAGTAAGTGTCTAAAGAAGGTGTATTTATAATATATATATATATAAGTATTTAAATGATGGCACAATAAAATAAAAGGAATACATAGGGTGTGTGTGTGTGTGTGTGTGTGTGTGTGTGTGTTATATGTACTATGTGTGCTGTCAGAGAGGCTAGAACCGAATTGCAAGGAAAAATCCATATCCATGTCTCGCACATCTGTCGAAAGCACACAGTATACTCTGAATCACAGACACACACTTTGATGCACAACAACACAAAAGTGTACACACACACACAAAACACACACACTCAGTCCCTTTGTTTGCTTTGGCAGAGAGGGCAGCTTTTCCCCCGGCTCTGCCAGTACATGCAGTCTGCTGTCATGGAAAAAATTGAACAAATACCGTGCAAACAAAACTAATCACTCCTCCCACGCACTTTGACACCCATTTCTTGTGGCCTCATTCACAGACACAATGATATATATGTGTGGGTGTGTGTGGGTGTGTGTGTGTGTGTGTGTGTGTGTGTGTGTGTGTATATATATATATATATATATATATTTAAACAAGGTAAATATATATTCTCATTCAGACAAAGTACAAATAAAATCTCTGGTTGATAGAAAAGAGCAACCTGTGGTGTACACACAAGTGGCTTGCCAAATATGGCTTCCCTGCTGTACAGTGTAGCTAGGCAACTAATAACAGTTCAAAATCCTTGCTGCTTTTTTCTGATGTGGTACAACAGAGAAGTAGGACACCTAGTAAACCGCTGCTGAAAAACCAGAAGCCATTTGAAACCGCCAATCTTAAGCATGCCCAAAGATGTCATTGATAAAAACAAAAACAGGAAAATTATTCCTTTTTCTTTTTTAAACAATGGGCAATTATTTGTAATTGGAAACAATCTATGTTCCACTTCATCTCTTGTTGCAAGCTCTTACCTATTCTTGTCTGGGTTGTCAGTCTCCTCCACTTCATCAGCGCTGCAAGTGGCACTAGAGTCACTGTCCGCATGGGAACCCATTTTAGGCCCATGGTCCTTTTTGGAGCTCTTAGAGGAGCTCTTTCCTTCCTCTGTCTCTGCAGTAGGAGGTTTTTGATCTATGGCATCGCTGGGTGGCGTTGGCTCTTTGTTGGTCTCCCCTGTCTCAGTCTTTATCTCTTGCTTGATGGCTGATTCTGCATCTTCCTTGACCGGAGGTTTCTCATCCCCTGCCTGGCCCATGTCGGACCCGGACGCCTCCTTGTCCTCTGCGTTGGAGCTGGACTTCGACCTGCTCGAGCCTTCCTCTTTAGCCTTGCTGTCCTCTGATGAGTGTGGCGAGGGCAAGCTCTCCGTGTCAGAGCTGTTGTTAGCACCACCTGGCAGAGGACAAAAGGAAACACAGATTATAAGACAAGAACGGGCAAATCATGTTATATCCCCTTGTTCTTATTTCATGTATTTTTCCCCATCTCTTTGTGCTAAAACAGATTCTTCACTGTGCCAGTCTTCTACCTAATCAGGTTTCACTGTACAATAAGGAGCAACACAAAACCAATTGGGATGATGGGTGAAATCCCCCAGGGCTTCAGTGCTCTATTGTGGAAGTGCAGTGTACACAGTCTTCCCTTATCAACAAACTACAGCATATGCTTCAATGCTTGTCATTGCAGAATGTAAATCTTTACTTTTTAACAGTATGCTTCTTACATTACATACTCTGGCTGGCCATTATATTAGGTATACCTTTACGACTAAATGCAATCTGATACAACAGCCCAGCCAAAGATTCTGCCTTTACAAAGATAATAATGTTACGGTTTTTTATAGGATGATTTTTTTTCAGGCTGTTTGCAGTGGGGTTGAACTTGTGCCTTTCATATGTTGCCCATTCCATTTAAAAGTATGACTGAACATATTATATTATATAACCTAACAGCCTTACTCATGTAAAACTAATATGTAATAAGTAAAAATTCATGATGCACACAAATTATAAACCTTTCTTTTGGTAATTAGCAAATAGATCTTTGGGGTGGCGTACCTTCTCCATCTTCAGGGGCCTCCTCTTCATTGCCACTGGCACCTGAGCCCTCCATCTCCTCCTCCTCTGCTGTGTACGGGGCACTGGTCTCCTCATTCTGCAGGGCTTTGCCCCTACGGCGGGCCTTTCGCTCTTTCTCCTGGGTGAAAACAAACACACACTAAATACAAACAGCCGGGTGGATGTAAAAGGAAACCAGAAACCATCTTTACAGCTTGGTTGTGCACAAAAAAGCATGAATGACGTACTTGTGAAGCAAACATGGCCCACAAAAAATGTCCTGGTACTCACCGATTTCATTTTATGCTGCTGCAGAATCTCATCCAGTTTCTGCCTCTTCTTGTAGTTAAAGTAGAAGTTCTTGCACTGTGACACGGTTTTTGACCCCACCATCTTGGCGATGGCGGACCAATTCCTACCATACTGGAGAAGGCCTGGAATCAACAGATGGACATGCAGAGGATTAGGATAGGGCGGGAACAAAGACAGACAACATGGCTGACATATGGCCTAGCACCACTCGGTCTCAAATCCATAATCTGAGCAAAGTACATTTGTTGTTAAGATTGTAAATGCAGCGGTTATTTGGTTAATACCATTATCTATATCAATCATCACAATCTCTATAACTGCATAGTGTGGAAGTCTCTCATGGTAAATCCAAAGCTATAAACACCTGTCTCTATAAACAGGGTATATGCAGGTATCCTGAAGTCAAATGTAATACCTTTTAAGACCTTTTTTAAGACCCTTTGCATACATTTTAAGATCTCATCGCCACTTCGAGTTTGAACCGGTTACATTGGCGACACACTTTACCTCACATTTACTATATACAGTATTGATTGTCCTTCCTCCTTATCTTCCAACCATTTGGACGCAAACTTGCATTTCCCCATAACGATGTTGTTTAACAACCGGCGTAAACGGACCTTCGCGCACTATCAAGCAGTGAGCGTGTGATGTCCTGTTCAGATGGGGTCAAATCCAACGGGATGCCATAAATAAACTACACAGAATCACACTACACACCTACGCAATGATTACATTCAGGCGAACTTTAGAATACAACCTCTTTGGACAATTGATATACTTATTGAAAACAAGCTACAAAATGTAATACCTTGGAAAATGCCGTTTAATACTTTTGAATACTTTTTAATAGCCTTAATTTTCGCTAAATTGATTTATCAACTTTTAATATTAAGACCCCGCGGACACCCTGAGAAAGCTGTCAAAACTGAAGCACAGCCTGGGAATTCAGTTCATAATCTAACAGACACAGCAACAAATACACAGAACAATATTGGATTATTTCACAGATTTACGTTCAAATCTATGACAATAGGTGATTGTTGGTAAACTTCTGTTATCAGGGATTAATTGTGAATATCCTCACACGAGCGACAAAGCTGAGAGAACGTTCCCATCAGCCCAACATGGTCTTGCAGGTCTCCCTTGAAAAAGAGATCTATGATCTCAGTGGGACCAATCTGGTTAAATAAAGGTTTGAAATTAAATTAAATGAAAGGGATCTTTTACATGTAAATGTCTGTCTGTACATACAGGGTTCTTACACCTTTTCCAAAGTCAAATTCAAGCACTTTTCAAGCATTTTCAAGGTGCATTTTCAAGCTTTTCAAGCATCTTACAGCTGTTGTAAATTACATATTTATATACACATACTTAAACTCAAATGATTATTTCCCTACCTCACATTAAATCAGATGTTCTTTATGCTATAAACAACCAAATGTGTGTTTCATAATAGCATTCTACATGAGGATGAAAAATTTAAATTTTTAGTAAGTTTAATATTTCAAAATGAGTGACCCATCTGTACGTAGACTGGGCATCTCATATAACCTGGCTGAGCCAATATAAAACAATCAGCCAAATAACTTTTCAATACATTATTGATTACTATTTTTGAGGTACTTTTAGGTTGGCAGTAAACATAATTCAGAGGTAAATGGTGTACTTTTACTCCACTACATGTATTTAATACCTTTAGTTACTTTACAGATGTGGATGAATGATGTGAAATATAATCAAGTGTTAAATCAGACTTTAGTTCCACCTGGAGTAAATTCACAAGCTACTCTGTAGTATACACAGTCATTCAAACTAGCTGCAACTTTACCAGCTTTGATAACACTTTCATGATCAATCATTATAAAACATATCATATACAATTATTAGGGATGCTCCGATCGCCAATTTTGGGGCCGATTGCCGGAATCAGTATCGGCCGATACCGATCGCCGATCCGATCGAGTGGGCGGGGCCTATGGGGATCTTCCATTTAAAGTGATGTTTAAAACTCAGTTAATGGGGCTCATTCACTGGCGCTTCCACAAGCCAACCAACCAACATAATTATTACATTCAAATTAAGTACATTATTCAAGAGCACATTAACTTGGGATAATAACACGGGAGAAATTAGCGGAAGCGCTCTCTTTTCCTCTCTCCCCCTCTCTCTCCCTCTCTCTCTCTCCTGACAGCCCGTCAGTATCTCCTGCAGCTCACTGATCCAGTAATGAGCGACCCGACAGTGAAGAATAAATATATGTATAACTAGTTTAGCTTGTTCCAGAGGTAGATCAAATAGCTAAGTGTGTTAGGTCTAACTCTTAATGTGTGTTCTGCTCCGCTCACCGGTCCGTCACAGCGGGTGGAGCTGCAGGATTTCTGCTTCACACACACGTTGCATACCGCTATTTTATTGTCATTTTCGGACACTTAAAATACTGCCAGACTAGTGAAGCCATTTTGGCGAGCTTGTTTTGCCGCGCACAGAGAAAAGTGTCATGTATTTTATATGCAACGATAGCCTAATCTAAAATGCTCTACTCTGGCGTACCTTTCGTGTGGTGTGTGGCTCGTCAGCGCAGACTCTCGCATCGTTATTGTTGCACACTTTGCAGGAGGCTACTCTTGGGCTTCGCTTGACCCTCGTCTTAGCCATGGGCTTGTATTTGTCTTCTGCTAGCCAACGCTCGTTGAAACGGCAACCTCCTGGCATACTGTCATCAGAATGCCCAGGTCACACACGTAACAAAAACACTTGCCGGTCACGCGCATTGCGCGGGAAGGCCGGAGCGGAGCTGTTTTATGTAAAAGCGAAGCAATTAAGCGCGCTCCGACTTCTTTATTTTCTTTTAATCTAAAAAGCGAAGTAAAGCATTTACAATTTCAAGCACTTTATCCCAAATTCAAGCACCATTCCCAAAATTCAAGCACTTTTCAAACCTTGAAAACACCTCGTACAATTTCAAGCATTTTCAAGGATTTCCAGCACCCGTACGCACCCTGTACATAGGTCTGTTACCTGTCAGTTTTTACAAAATATGATTGCCTTTATGGAGTGATACAATTGTATTCATTTTAATTGAGTAGCTGGCTATTATGTGGAAAAGTTTAAAAACTGATTTTAAAACATCCCTGAATTATCTTATAAGAAGGAACATAACCACAAAATATTGCTACTCAATTTCCTGTTACCCTTTATGCATGCAGGCTAACCTAATGATTTATGATTATCTTATTAAATAATGTTACAAAAAAACTTAAGATAATATCGTGAATCAATTTTGCTGAGCTAATAGTGACATTACATTTTCATGTTGTCCCATGCACACACACAGTCCCTGCGGCAGCGTGGCCTGACGCCATCTGCCTCCTAAGTAGAGACAGAGTGGAGGAATATGAGAGGGAAGAGGTGGTGCGTTGGCTGAAACGTCAGTCATACCAATGACATCATCAACTCTCCCAACTGGGGTCACTCGGTGTCACATTCTGACTGACTTTGATGCGACCCAGTTCCAAGAAACCCTGGTCCTTTACTCAGTCAACCACATGATTGTGCCTTACACAAGAGTCTACAGGCACCCGCTGGGCCACCGCGTTGATAGATTGACCTGTCATGCAACACACACGTACACACAACTGTTCAGTGCATGTGTGCTAAAAGAAGAGATGTAGAGAGTGTGTAAACGAGAGTGAGTGAGAAAGACAGATCGTGTAGAATTTGCTCTGGTGTCCCCCCCACCAGATTCTGCTGTTAGCTAAAGGCAGCTCATTAACAGTGTGTGTTGTAAGAGGCTTAGCTTACACCACCCACTTGTTTCCTGTGCCAGCCTGACAGGTCCTGGCAACAGGACAGCCTCTCAAAGGGTTGTGAGGAGGGGGGTGGGGGGGGTGTTATTAAGAGGCAAAGAGCCAACACCTCCTGGGATAACCTTGGACATGGGTTCAGAGGTCTCTGCATCTCATCGCTTAATGGAGGCAGTAGGACAACAAGCAATTTCCAGCCAAAGGAGAGGAAAGGACATCTGTTTACAGCCCTGTCATATCAGCTCTCAGATAAATCAGAAAAGACTGATACCAACGCTCTGCTGAGTAATACCATAAATAAGTAATAGCTGCAATAAAAGCTACCACACGAGTTGTTTAAGGGTCTAAAATCCCTGGTATTATTCACAATTATATGTATTAATTCGTACCGGGATACTAAGATACCAATGTGCATATAAACAAATTGCCCAACATATGATACGTTTCCTCTGTCCCTTATCAACTGATGCAAACATGAAAACACTTTTGCCTAAAGGGCTTGCATCGTGCAGCAGATGTGAGAAGAAAAATAATATTCACAGTCATGCTGAGAATGTATTAACGGCAGTATAAAAAGAACTACCATAACAAGTTAGGGTGATCTTCAAGTCTGAGCTGCTGGTGTCTAAAAGCCGCTGCGCACCTACAACCTGTCAAGTGTTAAAGTGGAAGAGGTTTTTCAGCTGAAATATTCATCGCTGCCACTAAAAGGCATGGCTAGGAAAGCTTCTCCAAGGAAGAAAAAGAAAAGCGGCCAACCTGACTCGCTCCAAGAGGACTGAGACACATGACCGACACTTATTAACCTTTTACAGCCGTCTCACGAGAGGGGAGACCGCCCTACAAGTCAGACACCCTCTGGAGTACTCACAAAACATACACAAGCACACGAACAAAGACACAAACAGTAACGTGATCTCACACACACACACACTCACACACACATTAGGACAAGTAAGACAAACACTTTGCTGCACCCACTGAACATGAAGCAATTTCCTGAAAGCCAAAGGTCACTTTGTTACGACCTCTAGCTACATCCAGTTTGTTCCATCAGAGGCAAGCACCTAAAGCACAATCTTAAGCAGCTCTGGTTGACTCGGGCCTTAGTTGCTGGAGCAACACACACACATGGAACAAACATCCAATCAGCAGCAGCGATACTAAAGCAGGTGGTATCCTCACAGCCAATCAGGATACTGTATTCCCATTAGCTCCTCCCAGAGAAAGTCCAATCAACACCTGGTGCAGCCAGAAAGTGGTTGTTCCTGTCTGTCACCTGCCTGTCACTCCAGCCGTTGTCCCGCGGTCCTGCAGTGGATAACAGTATCAGACGGTCTGATCTCTGGAGGGCCCGTTGGGAAGCTCTTCGGGGCTGGGCCTTCCAATCCAGAGCAGAGGAGATGAAAACAGCTCAGACTCGGAGCTCTTCCTGCCAGCTGGCCTGATACTTTAGCCGGTGTAAGGTTGACATGCTCCTAAACAGCACATGCTCCTGGCCTTTCCCCTTCTTTTCCTCTCACTCTTGCCTCCACGAGCTTCGGTGAGTGCTGGTCTGTTCTTCTCCGCCGTGTCTCTCCCCAATGGCGGTCGTCTGGGAAGACTTCCACAGGAAAGTGGGACTGTGGGGCGGTGCTATGTGCTCAGCCTCTCTCTCCCCTCATCTGATCTCTCCTCTATCTCTCTTTTTTTTCTCTCCCTCCCTCTCCCGGTCGGTCCGTCCCTCCCCCTACCTCAGTCTGCCAGCAGGCACCGCCGCACGCACACTCACACAAACGCATGAGTGAGTACACACACTCACTCGAACCCTTTCTCTCTCTCCCTCTCTCTCCCTCTCTTGTTAATACTCTCGCACACAGACGCAAACACACACTCAGGCAGTCCAAGAGTAAACAGAGAGCAGAGAGAGAGAGCAGAGAGAGCAGAGAGAGCAGAGAGAGAGAGAGCAGAGAGAGCAGAGAGAGAGCTGAGCCAGAGAGACAATGGAGAAAAGGAAAGGATACAGAAGTGGAGAGTAAGCAAAGAGAGCAGAGGGGGAGGTTGATGTTGATACCATGAGAAAGCATAAAGGCTTTCACATTTTTCCTGACTGACCTGCTTTTCATCTTGAATGTGACCTCTCTCCAGTCTATAACAACACAGAGTGAGTTGAGAGACAAAGTGAGTGGGGGAATGAGGCGCTTGCCAAATCTTCCACAGCTCTTGCCAATCTGGACCGTTGCCATCTCCCATCCGAGAGAGACGGACAGAACGAGCGGCGGAGATAGAGCAACCGTGGAGGAGGAGAAAAATAATATGCCATTCTCTACCTGCTCCTTTAAATGGGTTCTTCCAGCAAAGCAGAGGCCATTATCCAGCTGCCTGCACCCAAGCAAAGCCTGCCAGATTAGTGCACTTACATAAACGGCAGCCAAGGAGAGAACACACACACACACACACACACACACACACACACACACACACACACACACACACACACACACACACACACACACACACACACACACACACACACACACACACACACACACACACACACACACACACACACACACACACACACACACACACACACACACACACACACACACACACACACACACACACACACACACACACACACACACACACACACACACACACACACACACACACACACACACACACACACACACACACACACACACACACACACACACACACACACACACACACACACACACACACACACACACACAGAAGAAGAAGTGCTGGGTCTGAGAGAGGCTTTACTAGGCTGAATTCTGGCAGACGCTTGTATGAGGTAGCAGTCTTTATGAGCATTGAAGACAAGAGGGATCTATCCATGAGTGTGGCCATGCCATCCTCGAAGGCAGGGCTTGCTGGCGCTGCCATGCTGGAATGCCAATGTCCTGCCAGGCACTATAAATGCCATTATTCAGATCTGTGTAGCTCGAGGGGATAAACACATTAGCATCAGGACACCTAAGTCTCTTTAAAACATATACATGTCAAGCACCTTCAAGGGAGAGCACCTTGACAATCTTATTTAATACTATAAGGAAATGGGAGGGGTGTGGTTGTGATCTTGGAGTGTCAGAGTTCTTGGAAGGGGAATCCCTTTTGGCAGGTGTGGGGGTTGATGTTAGAACTGAGAAAAACGGCAAGAGCAGCTCCTCCTCTTCGGCCCTCAAGTCTGTAGCTCTGTGGTTGTGGTTACATAAGCCCTTCACAGAAGCCCAGCTACCACCAAGCTGCCAGGCTAATCCTCTGGGATGGAGAGCCCCACTAATCCCACTGCAGGAGAATGGAACTGAAGACATTAACCAGGATTACTACACAGGACTGTGTTCAAGCCAGGCCAGCTATCACAAAATAACCCCTCAACACACAAACATGCACGCAAACCCTAAATTGTAGCAGACACACACACAGCTTGAGACGGATGCGATAACTGATGACCAAATGTGGTTTCGATTTCACACTCAAGCTGCTGATCGCTCCTTGCAAGAGGCACTTCATCTACTGTTGATTACAAGGGAGGACAGATTAAGTTAGCAAGAAGCAGAACTGACAGTCACACAAAGCAAGATGACACATCATCTTCAAATGGCCACAAAGCAGCCGCCTTGGCATGAAATTGAGTTGAGTCAAGCACAGAAGGCAAAAACAATGATGGTACAAAGATCTGACATTAAACAATCATCTAGGAAAATATGCATTTAAATACACAGCTGAGCGGACAACTCCCCTTACATGTTCAGGTAAACTATTAAAATATCCACACAGAAGAAAACCAGATTGGACCATATCCAAAGAGTAATACACATTACAAACGACTGAAGGTAAGCAGATCATTATATCAGTAACAGACTCCTGGACTGCCCGCACAAACAGTCAAACACACTCACACAGAGCACCAGTGCTAGGAAAATGGGCAGAATGTCAGTGACCTCTGTGAATAAGCCACAGACCTCTTGGTAATCTTCAGTCAGAGACAATAAACAGGCTGTGTTAATGACTGCTGCATTTGCAGGGGCTAGCTGATAAGAGGCAGACTTTACAGCCTGCTTGATAAAAAGATACGTTGCATTGACCCAGAGAGAAGGGGAAGCGGCTCCAAAGAGCAAGAGACTCAGAACAGGCACTCTGACATATACACGCCAAGACACAACCCAGCAGCACGTGGCAGCGGCTGCCTCACTAACAGGAAGTCACAGCCACATCTCTTCTCTACACTTTCAAAAAAATGAAACCGTACTTGAGCCGCTGCTAGTGTTCCTCATTATAATACACATCAACTGGAATTAAGTTGTACTTAACAGGGCTAAGAAAGGTTTACTGTATTACCTTTTTTGGCAGTTTCCATTTCTTCTTCAGTCCAGCGAGAGCTCTCATTCATTTCCAGATTGGCTGTTAAAAAAAATAGAGAACCACCGAGTTAGAGAAGGCGGGACAATGGTGGGGGGGGGGGGGTTAGGGCTGTGGGCAGTTGTCACAAAGTCAGTTAGGGAGTGACTGACAAGGGTAAAGGAAAGAGAAAGACAAATTAGAGAAGACAGAATAAGAGGGTGGGGGGCAGGGTAGTTTGTACTGCCTGCCAGTGAAGCACTGCAGCGTGGGTCGCTAGGGAGTGTTTGTTTTAGATGGAGGAAGCAGGAAATCCAAGGAGAGCTGTCAGTTAATGATTATAGACATAACAACTGGCTTCTTTCCCTGCACAGGCCGACCCTGGCCCTGCCTGGCAGACAGCGGAGCGCGAGCCAGGGCTTCTGTGTCCTCTAGCTGGACCTGTAAAGGGCACAGGATGGCTAGCACTGCTGCCAGCAAGGGAACACACAGTGGCAGAGGTGGGGGGGGTTGCTGATGAGAGCCCCTAGTGCCTGAATCACCTGGGGATTCCCTGTGACTAAACCTGTGCTGCAGCATTGATACACAAACGCTGAAGCATCAAAATTCCCTGATTGCCTGCAGCAAGAGTGTTAGCGTGTGCACGGCTGACTTACCATCTGCGAGGTAACAAAGAGCTAAGCGGGGGGACACTGCTGACACACTGAATACTTTGTCTTTCCCAAACAGATGGGATTTAATCTCTTGTAGGCACACATTTTCAAAGTTTTTTCTTATAATTTCTTATTATGCAATTATGAGTGGCACTTAAGCAAAAAAAGTAAGTGCAACACTGAATGTGAATAAGTGAAAAGGGACAAAAGGAACAACAGTGCACTCTTGTGGTGTGGGACAGGAAGCAACTAGATCAAAGGTGACAAAGTTAATCTTGAGTGACGCTAGTGAAATGAGCTGTAAACCTTAGCTGTTAGTAACATGATTGTATCCCTCATTATTGCTTCTTGCTATCTTAATGTTTTAAACAAGTTAGCTATCAATTAAGTTTCCCTAATGAGAAGGAAAAAAGGTTTCTAGGCATCTCTGTGTTTAAGAGGAATATTACAATGGTTTGATTGCAAATTGACACAATTAATTTCATAATGTTTCCCCCTATCACCTTCACCTCTATATTTACAGTATGTTTGGTGCCTGCAGCTGCATGCTAAATGGTTCAAATAAAACTGAACAGAGAAGAAAATTGGGACTCATTTGCAATGCTGCAGAGACTGACCCAGCTCACTGTTGAGTGGCGGTGTGGTCGTCTCCTCCACTTCGCTGGTCATGGAGCGGGTGATGCGGCCCTTGCGGCGCCCCTGGCTGTTGGCTGTGCGTCGACCCTTGACAGCCACAGTCGGCTCTTTGTCCTCTGCATCTTCTCCAGAGGTGTCGTCCCTGTGTTTGAGAAATGTCAACACAGGGTCACAAGAGAAAACATGTGCTGTTTGAAAGTGTTCACAACATGGTGGGTCACTGATATAGTTGTCCCCTTATAGAGTGCCACAGTGACGCGTCCTAAAACCCGGAAGTAAGCTTCTTCCGGTTCCCTCGACAAAAAAGCAATTCCATAGGATTTTAGAAAATAGCTCGAAATAAGGTCTTTGGTTGACACAGACGGATCACGTTTTGTTCAGTCGGATAATCTCCACATGTCTACCCTACTTTTATAATTTTCTAATCATAAATCTATCAATCATAATTCTATCGATTACATTTATTATCGAAGAAGCTTACTTCCGGGTTTTAGGACGCGTCACTGTGGCACTCTATATTACAAAGCAATAACATAATTACCACAGAACTGAATGTTTTAATCCAATGAGGATGTTTTTCACCACTGAAGATTAGACAAAGGCAAAAAGCCCTTAACAAACGAGAAGTGAATATGTGTTGCAGTAAAGACAAGGTTAAATACCACCAAGGAAAATGCCAAGTGTCTGCTGATTACAATGTGTCACAACTGTCACTTACTGCACAGAAAGAAACACATTAATGACAATTTGATGTCCAATGTAATGTATGAAAAAAGCTTTGATTCCTGAGTAAACTGATGTCAATGTACACACCATCATTAAATTGAATCGGAGAGTTGACACTTGAACATTTAATTTCAGACCCAATGTGCTGAAGAACAGCCCTAGCAACACAACATGTGCCACAACAATAGTACTTGCAGGCTACAAAATACATTGTAGTTTGAAAAAGAAAAAAAGGTGTGGAGAGACGCACATACGTCCATCAACATCTTGTCCCTTTAGAGGTTTGGTCTCTACTTGGTGACGAGTTCATTCTGAAGACTGAAACAAAAACTTTTGTCTCTAAATGTGTATACAGACACTGATTTCCCTTCCTATTTTTTCTAAGATAATTTATCGAGTGTCAGCACAATGGCATGCCAGGAGACAGCCACTGAGTTTGAACTTACTGCACCTCCATTCATCTTCCCCCAGCTCCATTAATCTTCCTGAGGGGAGCCGGTGGCACTCTAAATATAGGCGAGCCAGCTGTGCCAGGGACAGCAGGGGCTGCTGGGAGTCACAGAGTCCCCTGGCCCTGCCACAGAGCAGGGAGGCAGAAGGCAATGCTTCATCATCATCCTCTAGTCGGACACAACTGCTAATATATATGACCTGCTATTACATGAAACTACTTTAGTGTACAGCCTCAGCTGACATCATAATATAATGCATTAATACAGATATAGAGTGTTGTATTCATCGATTACTCTACAGGCAACAGAAAGCAGTGATATTCCATCTGTTGTTTTGCATCCTTTGCTGGCGCTGTGCCTGAACCCCCCCTCTACCACCGCTGCAACCTTGCCACTCTTTACACACTGACAATTGACATTTACAGTGAGGTTAATCATACTGCTTATTTTCCCAAATTGAAAAAAAAAAAACAGTCTTACAAAATAAGCACAGAATTTTTTTAAATGGCACTTGGCATCCTATTGGGAAGGGAGAAATATAAACAGGAAAACAGCTGTTTTAATAAGGAGAACGAATGGACGCTTGAACTCGCTGTAGGTGGAATGTCTGGCTGGAGGAGGGAGGGAGATTGGGCTCAAGGGTTACAGATTGATTGGATTTCCAGATCTTCCCCCCTTAACCAAAATGTACTCCCACTCGATTTGCTGGAGCCTGACCTGGAAAAATTCTAAAATTGTGTGTTGGAGGAGTGAAAAGTGAGAAGATTGCGAAAATGTTTTCACTGGGCCACTCTGTCAGAGAGCATTTTTATTGAATGGGAAAAAAACCTTTTTACAAATGCAACGCATGAAGAGGTGCTGTTTGTGAGAATGCTAATGTCCGAATCATTCAGAACTGACATCAAACGGGATTCTGAAAAGGCTCTCAAGTAAGGGCCGTGTTAAATCGTGTTTACATTCAGCTGGTGCAAAAATGAAAGCAAACAAATATTTGTGGGTAAGGAAGAATATGCATTAATAGAAGACCCCAACGAAATGATTGACCAGAGAGGAGGACGTTTTAGCATTTCTGTCACTAAGGGTTTATGTCAAAATGGTTCAAAGAACGGAAAGAGACTCTTGTTGTTTATGACAAAATTGCAAACAGGCTACATGATCGCAGTTAAATCTGCTCCATGCCCTGCATCCTGCACACTCTACTAAGCAAACAACCCTGGCCTAAAACAAAAGGTAAGGCATAACTAGTAAGTGAGACTCGGACATCCTCCTGTTCTGTGCTACATATGTGAAAGGGACACTTGGGAAATGTCCAATCCTAATTATACATGCTTCATATTCATCTTTAGACAGTGTTTAGAATTAAGTGTTTGATGCAAATATGATTTAAAAAAAAGTGACTCACTTCATTCCATCCTCCTTGTCTTCAGCTTCATTTTTTTCTTCATCCCTCTCCCCCTCCTTCTCTTTCTCCTCCTTCTCCTTCTCCTTTTCTTCCTGGATGCCCCGGTGCACTTGTTGTTGCTGTTGTTGCTGTTGTTGCAGCTGCTGCTGCTGCTGCTGCTGCTGCTGCTGGCCGTGCTGCGTCGAGGGAGAAGGAAACAACGAGGAACTCAGTTACATAGGTAATCCCAGGTAACTGGACACACACACACACACACACACACACACACACACACACACACACACACACACTTACCAGCAAACTCCCTGACCTCTCCTGACACATGCACTTTAAAGTTAGGACGCATTCACTTGAAAAATGGCAGTGTCACTTGCATCCCTTTTTGTTCCATGTAACTGTTGTTATTATAGAAAGTGACAGTTTCATTTCATATGCCCACATTCATTTTCTGAGTGAGAATGCACTTCCTGTGGCAGGTCTTATATCGCAAACATTATTCAGATAAATGTGCTTTTAAAAACACACAGCCGCAGACGGTGTGATGTCTGGCAGCTTTTCTGGTGAGATAACGCAACAAACCGCACTATTGCATTAGCAAAATCATCAAACATAAAAAAAAAAAAGACATTGACAGGGACTCCTTTTTTTTGTTTCACAGACTTGCTTGACATTTCGACGACTTTGAAACACTTGATTTAACTGAAATGTAGATAATGATTTATAACAATCCTATTCATTTTCTGCATCGACAAAACAAAACAGGATACGAAAGTTCAGAAGATACGCTCTTTAAGCACCCAGAACCACTTCCTCACCAACTTCCTGTCTGTCTAGGCTTTTAAGGTTAGAGTTCAGATTAGTACAGGCATGCAATCTGAGCAAAAAAACACTGCACATTTTCACCAAGCACACATACTTAAACTCATCAGAACTTCTACTCTATTTGATGTGTTTGCAGTTGCTGCCTGTGGGTACAGAAATGATAAAGAAGACAACTGAGCATCAACTCCACTACAGCACTGTGGGGAAAAAACTAAGTAGGCTAGAAACATGAACATTTGCATTAAGCTCTCACTTATCCCCTCTGTCTCTCCACTACCCAAACATAATCTTTATTAGCAGCTGCACACATCTCACTCTGACATATAGCACGGCACATTCTGTCACTCTGCAGCTACCTCTCTGTGTGACTGCCAGCTATTAGTGCTAGCTGCTATTCAAGAGATGTGGAGCAAACCGCTGGGTAATGAGCGAGGTTTCTTTAGGAAAGCTGAGAAGACACCATCCATGTACCCACAGGAAAAGGTCGCAAGTAAATTAATGTACTTCTTTCTTAGGGCCCACCACCATGAAGTTGAACTGCTAGCATGTGACGCTAAGTAATATCAGGGAGCTCATTAGCCATAGAAACGATCTGAATGTGTGGAAATGCCGACATGATGATGTTCAGCAAAGTGTGGCATTTGATCAGCACAACTGTGTGACATTTGGGGTTTTCGGAACTCTTCATCATTCTCTCACGGTTTAGAGACCTCCTCTGTTCTGTAAAGACTAGTGAGATTAAGTGCACACAGGACAGATTTGCAGCACTACCATATCCAATTTCAGTAGCTTTCAAAGAGTTCAATTCTGTTTGCATTTCGTTTTTGCGTGGCAGATACCTGAAGTTCAACTCTGTTGCATGCTCTGGGAAAACATGGTCAACTCTAAATAGAAAAACATATCTGTGCTGACCAACTGGATACAATCAGAGGCAAGTCTTTCTTAAGTTACATCCATTGTATACAAGAACAATATGGGAAAAGTGAGTAGTGGTTGTTCCTGCCAAACGTGTTGGACAACAGAGAATAACATTAGACCTGGAGTGTAATGACTGAATGGAAAACAAATGTTTTCGCCAACTAGCAAATGGTATTGGTTAGCTAAGTGACTGCAGCTGACTTCTTTGTTGCCTAGCAACAGAAAAAACGAGACACTGAAAAATCTAAATATCTTTTAAATAAAACAAATCTGGTTGTTCAGTATAAGTTTGAAAGGTAAGAATACCTGGCTTCTTCCTCGGCGTCTGTAGTTCCTCCGCACTATGTTCTTATAGTTCTCATTCTTTTTGGTCAGGTAGTAAAAGAGCACACACTCCGCCACCGTCTGAAACATGAAAACAAATGTTTTTCAGTCATAACCTGAGAGGACTTGAACACTTCCAAAAAACAGACAAAAAGGAAAATGAACAAATACCTTTCTCTCCAGAAAAGATGCAATCAGACCAAAGTTTTTAGGATGCTGGATGAACCTGCGGGAACATAACAAAGACACTGAGGCAACCTGCTAATTAAATGATTCAAAATCATTGGCAGAAGCACTCTAAAATAAGGGAATAACACACAGAGAATAACAGAGGAGGTGACGTACACACTGACGCAGAAAAGAAAATCTAAATTAAGACTTCAAAACAAAAACATTGATCTCAGCGGAACTCTACCTCTACAAAGGATGTAATACTTGTAAAAAATGTCATACAATAAGATATTCAATGACTAGTGATTACATGTCTTATTGTATGTTTTGGATCAAATTTGATAGAAAGAAGAAATGGAAGCTCTTTGTTTTGCATGTGGGTGAACTTTAAAATCACTGCTTTCAGTGTGTGGGTTTGCTGCGATTTGGCAGTTTGCAACGCCTCCTTTCGATTTTTAGGAAAGGTGACGATTGAGTTCCTCACCAACAACTTACTGACTTTTACCTTTATCAGTTACACATATTTCACATACAGTACAAGACACACTTAATCTTGTTGTAAAAATAAGATCCTGAGCACAAAATGAAAAATGAGCCAAGAGATTATATTGGATTTGAAAAGCCTGAAATAAACTGTATGTTCTTACATTTTATTCTTAGTGCCAAATGCCCCAAAAGTACCGTCCGACACTATTTCAGGCGCATATTTCACCAACTAGGGAATGAAGTGTTGTGCTTACTTCTCTCTGAAAGTGTCCTTCTCCTGCTCGCTCCACATGTTCATAACCTGCCGGTCCTTGTACACCTTCATGGGGTCATCCATCAATCCGTTCATGTTGATGAACTTGATGCGCTGCTGCTCGGCATCAAACAGCATGGGGGGGATCACCGCCAGCTGCCGCATCTGCTTCTCAGTGTTCTGACATACACACAAATGCTGAAGTGAGTGGGTTGGTCTCCAGAGGGAAACTGACTGACAACATGGTGCTTATATTGACGTGCGCTATGGGAAACGTGCCCTTTCTTCAAGTTTTCAGAGGACAGGAGAGGAAGTTTAGGGTGTCGTGTTGGCTCAGCAGCTAATGGCATTTTCCAGGTCAAATGTAACGTGTCACTTTTCTATCGTTTTTCCGTTTACAATAAGATAATGTCTAAGTAAAGGAGGAAAGGGGGGTTGAGAAAAGATGCTGTGTTATCTCGAGTTGGTTTGAAGGTATAAAAGCGTTTCTCGAGATGAGACAAGAGAACCCAATTGGACACACCACTAAGCCTAATGGCAGGCTGACATGAGAGGAACCAGTGTAATGTGTGACTTCTGGATGTCACGGCACTGAGAGCTTAGAGCACAGTCATCCACCACTTATGCATAACATAGAGATCGGTTTCAGACATTGTATGGGACACATTCAACATCTGACTTCTGCATAGACTTTCAAAATCTATGATAAGAAATACATATAATAGGTGGGGTCAGTCAGTGTCTTTATGCAAAATAGAGATAAAGATACACTGTATATTGTTTGTAAAAATAATGTTGAGCCATTAGATGAATATGACTACAATATTTTATTATATATTATATTTCAACTGGACATTAAATGTATGAACTATGAGCTTTTGAAATGTAAATAAAACATTTAAATGAATTTGGCTGGTATGTTTGTATCAAGTCAAGCCCATTTTATTAATATAATTTGCCAGGGGGCTCAAACTGTACCTGAAATTGCCGTCTTAGACAAGATTGACACTATTGATCTTGAAACTTTTTTTAGAGCAGCTAAATGTTGTTTGAGAATGATCATACAATTATTATACAGTTGACAAGAATAGGGACCATTATTACTGTTGCATCAACAGCTGACACCATGTGTGGAGTATGCATGTTGTAAAAGGAGGAAAGAGAAATGAGGGAAGAATCTAAAAAAGTAGACACAGGCAGTAAAAAAAGACCACAAAATATCAAAGTTTTGGCAGCATTTCAATTGAAAGCAGCTGCGCTTGCCTCTGGGCTGTGGTGGCCTTAAAGAGCTAGTATTGAGCTTTGGCTAGAGCTGCTTTTCTACCTACCAGAAATATTCCATTGACATACTTTAGCATCTGTCTAACAGTTGTATTACAGTGTATGCCAATATCGAGTGGCCTATGCCCCTGAAACAAAACCATGTTGCATTTATTTCAGAAGGCTTGAGTAACATTTCTGCAGGCTATATCTTTGGGATGCTGTTTTTTATTAAATTGTACGGCAAGTGAAAATAGATAATAATTCATAAATATGATAAAATAGTGGTAATGTGTATTTGTTTTTGTATGTTTAAGATAAACTTCATGTGGGCCTACTTGATTTCACCTAATCGTCATGCTTTACAGTTAAATATACAATTAATCATAGTGTCTTTGCCTCAATTACAAAAAACTGGCTCCTTCAATTACATTTAAATAAACATATATGTATATTAACAGTATATCAATAATTCCTAGTAGAATTGCCAGCAGTTAGTTGTGACAGTAAACACAACCACACAACCAGATTTCTGGCTACCATAGAAACGTGAACTTCAGAGTGTGAAAACACCCTAAGTGTTGTGAAAGAGGAAGTGGAGGGGGACAACCCTCTTTAACAGAAGAGCTAACCTCATGCTCTGATATTCCATCGATGATCTCGGAGACCTCATGCTCACTGCGAGCTGCAGACGAGGCCAGCCCACCTCCTCTCTGCCCAACACGGCTGCAGAAGGAAAAACACAGAAGCCGTGTCACTCAAAACTACCCACAAGCCCCTGTAACTGAGCCACGGAACCACACAATGAAACAAAGCAAGTGTTTATAATGAGAGCGGTATCTAGCCACCAAATCAGAGTACTTAAGTCATTTCCAGAAATCAAATGTATTTCCCACTGTTGAACCATCACATGTCGAACGTTGTGGAAGTGGTAATGTAATGAAAAACAAAGAAATGGCGTGAACACTGCAGGGCTCCAAATAACTCTGATGAAGAGCAGTTGTGCTCAAAACATGCAATACATAAGTGAACATGTGAGCCCTGCAGTGTAGAGCTATTTATTTATGTTCCCTTGGTTTGGCAGTGAGTGTACATTATGTTTTGAATAAAGTAATCGTATAACCTCACCTCTGCATGCGCTCCTGTAGCTCTCTCTGCTTGCGGATCTCTGGGAACTGTTTCTCGTAGTACTCGCGCACCTTGCCCTCCTTGGCTCGGCGCCGCGGGTTGCTTTCAATGCGATCCACCTTCTTCTCCCAGGCTTCCATCAGCTGGTCATAGCGCTGGCAAAATTTCTGTTCCTAAAGCACCAAAGAAAGAAGATATCAGACCATTGCAGATCAGCTTAAACATCTAAACTATTTTCCTCTGTCTTCCCTTTGATCTTAAAACATGAAATGAATGCACCATTACATCAAATGAATAACAATGAAAGAGTGTTTAGCAGTTACTGATAAAGCAAGATATCCCCCAAAGCGCATAGTGATATTTTAGATAATCTGATATCTTTCAATAATTATTTTTCACTGATCTCCTTTTTTGTTGACACACCGTGAAGCTCTACAAATTCAGAGTGGGCTTTGTGTTATGTTGGTATATTTTGGGGAGTCTGGCGTTGAGCCACGGCGCTGGCAGACAGCAGACCAATGTTTTCCCAGCTTCCTCGTAGGCTGGCTATAAAGCAGACCATTAAACCCGGAGGAGACACGACCCTCAGAGGGCTCATAAAGCACAAGGGGACTCTGCCCATGAGGAGCTCCCTCCCCCACTTATAGACACAAGAGAAGACTGGAAACTCGCCCACAACTCAGGCTTTGATACAGGTGCTGCATTTTAACTGTCCTTTATGTCCTCGTATAAACTTGAAAAACATAATAACTGTAGAACTGCAAAACAGTTATTGCTGGGTTGGAGGTGGTTGGAAAACAATTCCCTACTTGTAGATAGCTGCACATTTTTATAGTAAAACTTGATTTGCAATAACTATTTTCTTTCAAAGCAGTTCATTTTTAAGATGCCTGACTAGCATCACCCCATTGATCTCTGCTTTATTTATAGTCATGCTCTCTGGCTCAGTCTCCCTCGATCACTGGCAGGCAACAGCGCATGCTAATGCTGTACAATGCTCATTATAAGTGGCTGGCAGGGAATGCAACAGATTTGAGTCGGGTTTTTTTTTTTTCTGATGACCGTGTGAGAGAATTTCTTTTGTTTTTCAAAAGCAATGGCTTCCCTTGGGCACAGTGAGAGGACTGACATCCTCTTTGTTTTTTCTTAAAATGGACACTCACTTCAAGGAGCATTTGGCCCAGTTTCACACTAGTCATCCGTCATGGGCCAAGTCCCAACAGAGAGTCAAACATTTTGAGTTCTTTACTTACCCACTGCTTACGAGCATGATTTCTCCTCTTGAAGTACAAGATGAGCTTCTTCCTCATCGCCTGGTTTCTAAGAGGGTTGAAAAGAGGCATGGAGAAAAAGAGAGGGGTGGATGGATGGAAAGGAAAAGAACCAGGTGAGGACATTCATAAAAACGATCAATAACAGTAGTAAGTATATGATGTTCTCAACATTCTCTGTGACACTTTTTTCTACCTTCTGTGCTTTCTCCGCCTCAATGTTATGCCCAATAAACAAACAAAAACCCCACACACACAGACGCTCACACAAACACAAACAATGTCTGTCCTTGTATGCCACCGCTTGATAAACCCAAACTTGCTTCTAGGTGGAAAGGACAGCGAGGTGAGCCAAACTTATAAAACTTGTCTGGGCAGGGAACAGCCAGCCACATTGCCTCAAATAAAGGTCAGGGCCAGTAATCTCCTTAGGCAGCGACTCAGTTTGTCTCTTTCTGTGCGGCAAGACAGAATTGTATTCCTGACACTTAATCTGTCAGTTGTAAGGTCACGTTCCCCACTGATTAATGTAATCATATTCAACATTAGTCACTTCAGCTGAGCTGCTGGGTCCTTCGGGTCACAGGCGAGGACGGGAAAAAAGTGGGTTTCAGATGGTATAATAGTTTTGTAAACATTTTGAAAGATAGCATGGTAAGATTCAGGATCCAAAGTAAGTTTAACTTGGCTTGCCACATGTTTCTAACACAAATGTTCTATTTTCTGTGACCTAGAAAGGGTTTTTAAATGTGCAGGACCGCTTACTATTAATTATTCTAGTATCATTTGCATCTTCATAATAGAGGATACATTGAGTGTTTGCTTCTGGCCTGTGGCCCACCATTACGTTTCAGATTTGGCTCTCCAGGGGGAAAAAGTTTGGGTACTCCTGGTGTAGAAGGATAAACACACAGGATGACCCATTCTCCATTTCCCAAACATGTTATCTGCAATAACAAACCCCAATTCAACGTAAACAGTCCTAACCTCCAACCTACATAAACACTCCCACACAAACAAACACACACACACATTGAGTCAACCCATTGCAGCAGAAAAGATAAATACTGCCAGATCCAGCTAGGTACTGTGGATGTCAACCCTTACTGTGGCATATTATGGGTGAGAATAAACTTAGTATGGCAAAAACCAGGCTGATGGATTAAGCTTTTCAAGACAAAGATGGCATTGTGCTCTGGACACCAGATGGCAAAGGGAAAGATTAGTAACCCTGAACTCTACGAAAAGGTTTGCTTTGTCCTGCTCTAAGCCCGTGCCACTTCTGAGATATCAGAGAACACTGTAATTTGGTATAATATCCCTGGAAGATTAATACATGGACCAGTGACAGATGTTCCCCAGTGGCACATGCACATCAAAAAACAATCTGTATATTTTTTTCTTGATAGCATATGCAAATGATATGTATACAGTGTAATGGTTTATTAACAGCTGAGTGTCAGAGGGGGTGCGTGCAGGAGATGCTGAGAGCCCAGCGGAGAAATTGGTACTCATCTATCCCAGCAGGGATGAGTGCCAAGGTTATCAAAACGGTGTGCGAAACAAAGAAGTCAATTGTGCTTGCTCAAAGCGACGCAGTGGTATTTAATAACACACAAACACACACAGGGAGAGAGGAGAGTTTCCAGTTAATTGCTTTGAGGCAATAATACTGATCAAACGGTGCAGGGATCAAACGTAGTGATGACAGAGCAGTGTGTGGCTAAGAGGTCAGACACATCTTGTGGTATGCTGCTGTGCCAAAACCACAGTGCCAACGGTGGAGACGAGATATTATAACCCTCGTTCAGCCCTTTGATGTGCCTCAGTGAATTATGCTTCTTAAAAAAAGACGGAGCCTAATTGAGAGACATGGCAGAGCCACGCAACGTTTTGTACTCTTCTGACTTTATATATGCTGTAATTGAAAGGCATACTGTTTTTGCTTGGTCATTTCTTTGTTTGACTAATAAACATTTTCTTTCAGTAGGAATGATCTGCTAAATAGTTTTTGGCAAGAATGCATAATCAGAATTAAAAAAAACAGTGCAAGCCCTTTTCCATAACGTTGTGGCATTATCGTTTCACAGTACATTTAGCACAGTAGATGCCCCGGTATGCACTTTGATTCCAGTAAGTCCAAAGTTTACATAATGACACATTTCTGAAATGCCATTCTTTGCAGTCCAAGGGGGAAGGGGAGTTGAGGTGGAGACAAGTGGCAAGTCTCTCTCACAGAAGCATTATACAACCGCTACAGAGAACCAATAGTAGTTTTTGAATTTACAGCGAATTTATAAATGCAAGGATTGGTTTTGGATGGGTTCAGAGTTTGATTAAATTGAAAACAAACAGAAATCCTCTGTAATTACAACCAATAATAGCTCACGTGTGGTACAGGGCCTGTCTCATTACCCAGGAAATTAAAGTTGTTGCGTGAATCAGCTAATTTTCAAGAGCATCAGGACGGCAGTGGGAAGCTGCCTGTGCACTGCGGGCAAACGGTTTGACACAAAACGGTGTCCTTCGGGCACGATTAACAGGCTAACAGGGGTAAACTGACAAGCATGCCACGGCTGACAATAACTGGAGCGCTGCTAAAAGTTGCACTCCTGAGTATCTGTTCCTTGTATGCAAATAGTCGACGTAAACAGTTGTTTGGGTCACACGGCATACCGAGAGGATGTTGCTTACTGAACTTAATGACACGTACACAACAGCCCTAATCACTGGATATTCAATATTTCTTCACGTGTGTAGGCATTGGCAGTGACAGACTTACATTTTGATGTTCTCATGGTACTGCTTGGTATCAGAAGGCTGATTGTACAGAGGCTGCAACACAAGAAAGAATAAAACAGATCAGACCATCAGCCAATTTCAGTTGTGTTACCAGATAATAAATGAACAGACGGTAAAATGATGGCATACATCCTCTGCAATATGATTCTGACCTTGCCCAAGAATATGAATGTTTGCAAAAAATGCTTCACAAATGTCTTGAGTGACTCAAAGTTGTATCTGCCTGAAGCTTAATAACCCTTTCAAATGAAATTCAATTACAATACTCAAAATGAATGTCCTCCAGGATACAGAGCCTGTTTTTGTGTAGCATCTTACATGCTCTCAAACAGTAATTAGTTTCAGAGAACAATCTGATGAAAACCCAATGTTTGTGTGTTTGAGATTAGGATGGATGGACAGATATGTAATATAGTATGTGCGAGCAAGTGGATGACTAAAACCAAGTAGTACAAACTAGGGATGCCAGCGATTATTCGTTACAGTCTCCATAATCGAAGATTATTTTTAAAATTCGATTTTATTTATATATCTTTTTATTAATATTTATGTTTTTCTTTTTTTTCCTGGTTTGGTTTCAACCAAAATATAGACTAATGCTAATAATAGTAATAGTATTAATAATTGTAAATGACCATTGATCACACCACCAGTTTGTTTTACTGTAAACTTGGAGGAAGCCAGCAGCGCAGAGTGCAGACTGCTGCTGTAGCCTGCTACACACCGACCCCGCCCCCCCCCACCTCCCCTCTCCGTCACACGTGCGATTGATTTATTGGCGACAGAACAGTGAGAACACAACTAAAGATGAACAGAGTGGCACGTCCACAGAAGAGTTCCTCGTGGAACTACTTCGAACTGACAAGTGCAAATGAAGTCCAATGCAAGCTCTGCATCCTTTTTTTTTTTTTTCTCCCGTGGGGGTGGGGGGGGGGGGGGGGGGTGGGGGGGGGGGGGGAGGCGGGATGTCGGTGTCGAATAATCGATTAATATTCGCCAGGGCTGTCCGATTTTCGATTTTGATCATGGTCAGTTTCTGGCATCCCTAGTACAAACAAGTAGTTTGGGAATTTGTTTTTAGAGTAATAGTCTCAATTTTGCAAAGTTAATTAAAAAGCGGTCATCGGGGTTACTTGAATGTTCTCTGTGGGTTAGGGTCAAAGCAACATTTAACAGAGCACTCGTAGTAATTGTGTTCCATTGCTTAAGTACTGTAATCATTTTATTTTACTTTATACCCCTTCCCCAAAGCCTTGCATCTAAGAACTTATTCCTGGTTTCTACAAAACATCCTTGCCCTCCTATCTCTCTAGCCTCTCAAGTGTCAACATTGCAAAAACATGAGGGCAGGAAGAAAGATAAATACAAACGACATTAAATCTCCGGTCTCCACTCACCAGTTCTACCCTGGGTCCCAGTCCCTCCAGTACCCTGTGAGCCTCTTCTGCCTTTTTCTGGTAAGGGAACACAAACATAAGTAGTACATTAGCCGGCCGCCTGCAACTCTGCCATCACCACGGCAACGCTGTGATCACCGAGGCTACACCGCTGCTCCCTGGATGGACGAATGGCTGGATGTAAGGATGGACGGAGAGATGGATGCACCGGCTATAATTAGAGCTTTTAACTCAAGCTAAGTTTCTTGCCTCAGCACCCTTTTTTCCTCTCCCAGAAAAAAAAATATATATTACTCACTTCCCCTGAGCAGAACAGAGGAAGGGAGAAATAGCAGGCAGGCAGAAAAGCAAGTGGGAGTGGAATAGAAAGTGAGTGGGAGAGGTAGAGCAAAAAGAAACAGGAAAAGGAGGGAGGGCTAAGGGGCTTTGGTGCTCATCTCATAAGAGAGATCTGATGAAAGACAGGGAAAGATCTCACCTTCAGCTCACTACCTACAACAATCTGCCTCTTAAAACAAAAACTCCTGGCAGGGAACATAAAGCACGAGACGAGAGGCGTTGGGGCATGAAGCCGGGCAGCAGAAAAACTCCCATCTGTGTCTTTGGATGACCTCTCTGCAGCTCTGCACCTCCATACGTTTATATTTAGCTCCAGCAGACAAATGTGTGAGCAGTGTCCCAGACTACCCCTCGCAATGTTCGCTCAACTCTTTTCCTCATTCCACTCGGTACTCCCTCCTCGCTTCATAGATCAAACTGACCCTCCTTGGTGACACGCCACATGCTCTGTTGCTTTCCATCTCACTTCATTTCCTTCAGTGGCCGCGCGGTGAGACTAGCACGACTGACACATTTCTCAGACAGGATGGAAGTACAGTGAGGGAGGGTTGGATGGAGAGGAGGATGTTAGAGGTGATAACAGAGACAGAAGCAGCCTGTGTGTATGTGCATGTCAACCTTTACTCTCCCCCACCCACAATGTCATGCTGCTTCCTTGTCCCTTTCACTCCGTCTTCACTGCCGCGGTGCCACAGGAGGTGTTTGGGATCTACTTCTAAGTTTATACAATACTCACGCTAACGGACTTGGATGTAAGAGGAGCTCACGCATACAGCTTAACTTGACTCAACTTCTAACTCAATAACCTTCGAGTGAAGCCAAATGACGTGGCTCCAGTTTGAAAAGTTTAACAAAAACATCGAAAACATTTTACAGGTGCTGGAGGAAAAATCAAACTGAGGCATGAATCAGAGCACTGTATTTGCAGGCATTGTGAAATCCTCAGTCCTTCAACAGTGCCTGAAAGAGATCCCTGTTAGATCAAAAATGTTGCACAATTAAAAAAGCTGGGAGTTTTTAATACAGTGTGCAGATCTTTGTCTGATTCTTGCTTCAGTTTCAAACCCTGTGCATTTTCGAGGCAAAATGAAGCACTGAGGATTTATATTTGCACGTACTGTATTGACATTCAAATGAAAATACAGTAACATGATGCTATTATCCTTCCTTAACTTATTTTGCATTCATTTCCTCTTCCCTGCTGCTTCCTCACCAGTGAGTAGGTGTAACAGCCTGCACAGTATTGCTTCAGAGAGCTTGCTCACTACAAGAACACTTAATGAACAGCAATTATTAAAACCAGCCTTCCGTCCTCGGGGAGTCGGGAGGCTCAAGGATTTCTCGTCTTTCCTTGGCTGTAATATTGAAAGCAGATATGAAAACAACACTGCATGATACTGACCTCTAAAAGAGAGGGGGGGGGCAGATGAGGTGCATCTATAGTATTACCTTTAACCTGTACGAGTGTGCATAATTACAAAGACAGAGCTTGCATCACACACACAACCTTCGCACAAGACCAAAGCAAGGAGAGGATGGCTCTATTACTTCAATTATGCCCCCCTGTGGTGACAGACAGTAGTGCTACTCTGGCAGTGCCATTATGAACTGTAAAGCTTAGCAAAAGCACTATTGTACATGACGCCTGCAGCCAACAAGACATTTTCCTCAGCGGATCATATGATCTCTGAAAATGTTGGAGAAAACTCAGGGCAGAACTTTGCTTATTCAACTACAATTACAGCATTACAAAACGTCCGTACCGCCCATGAAGCGAATGCAGGGGAGAAAACAAAATAGAAAAAAGGGAAAGTGCTACAGGGCCATGCAAATAGACATGAGGATTTAGCAGAGCTCCACAGAATTATGATAATGCAGTCTCAGAGGGGGCTGTCTTCTCTTGTGATTATATCCATGACAGCTATGTCCCAAATGACAATGGGCTGTCGCTAGAAATGCGACTGTAACCCTGCCTGAGAACGCTGGTGACACTGAGCCCAGAGGGGACAGATGACACCGGAGTGACACCAACTCAAAAAGCCATACTCAGGTTGGAGTAATTACAGCCAGGTGCTATAACACGGATAGATCAAGTTATATAAAAGTACTGTAAATGTGCACAAAAAGAAACACACAAGATTTGACATATAACATTAAGCTTTAAAGTAACAACATTATAGGATTTACACCTTGTGCACCTTGGGTAGATAGATGTCTGAAACTAAAAAGGGATGCTCATCAATTAAATTGATTTTTTTTCAAAATGTGGAACAAATTCTTCTTCTAAGAAATGTCAGGATGCACAGCACGTAATTTGGGAAGGTCTCTGTCTGGGCGAATCGTGGGTTTGTTTGTGAAAACGCACAGATTTTGCTGATGTTTATTATTTGGGTTTTGGATCTCGCAAATGGAGACGCATTTTTGCGAGTGTAAAGAAAAGTGTGTCATGTGTCAAAGAGGGATTGGCATGTCATGATATTAGTTAAGAATACATTCTTAAAGAGCAACTTGCAGGTTAGAACCCCCAGTGAATAAATGTGTAGGAAAATGATGTATACACTAGATTTTCTAAATAATATACATAAATATACACTACAGTGACATCTGGCGTCGTTTTTGTAAGACAGTTTTACTTCCGCATAAAAAAAGACCACCCGCGTGTGACGGTACATGAGGGAGAGCGGCCGGTCTAACGTATTAATAAACATGGATCACAATGCTAGTTTTGACACAGAAGAGGTTGAAAATGTATATTCGTATGCATATGACGGACCACGACCTTATAATTATGAGCCTGCTAGGCGTCCAAGAGACCAGGAGCAGCCAAGGATTAGAAGAAATAACGGCCATCGGAGAGAAATTGAGCTGTGGTGTGAGGAGAACCAGTGGAGTTCTCCCCACACCACAGCTGTCTTGTGAGTGACCGGCGTTATAGCTACAGTTAATGTTAGCTAACGTCAGTCACATCACAACATTGTAAAGTTAGCTATCATATATCAGGCTATATGAAACTAATGCGCAAGTATCAGCCGTATCTCGCGTTACCTAATACAACTCCACACTACGTCTTACGGTGCTGTGTACCGGAGGGGAGAGAGAGAGGAGCGAAGGGGGGGAGAGAGAGAGAGGAGCGAAGGGGGGGAGAGAGAGAGAGAGGAGCGAAGGGGGGGAGAGAGAGAGAGAGCAGCGAAGGGGGGGAGAGAGAGAGAGGAGCGAAGGGGGGGAGAGAGAGAGAGGAGCGAAGGGGGGGAGAGAGAGAGAGGAGCGAAGGGGGGGAGAGAGAGAGAGCAGCGAAGGGGGGGGAGAGAGATGTAATACGGTTTCCTGATAAACGTTTTGTTTGATTTCAAACCTTTATTTAACCAGATTAAATAATAATAGGCCTCAGCTGTGGAGAGTATGTGCTGCAGGGAGGTGGATGCACCTCGCACAACGCACCCAGGAACGAAAGCTAGCTCCGGTCCTTTTCCTGTTAGGGAAACTGTGGACTCGATGTCCTGACAGGCTGGAGTTTGTGCAACCTGCACAAATTCCAGCTCACCATGATTAAAAATGGTGAAATGCAATTTAAAATTACCGAAAAAAATACCAGCTCACTAAATCACAACCGCTCAAACCAACTACCAACTACTACCGCGGATTGGGCAGACAAGGAGTCCGAGAAAGTTGCTCCCCCATGTGACACGTTTGACGTTAAAAAAAACAGTAGCGTTTTAGTAGCAGAGCTCAAAACGGCTCCTTTCCCCTCTGAATTCCTGCCCTTATGTCTCCTAAAACATATCCTAAAACATATCCTGCATTAACTTTTTTAATTTTAAGGCAAGGTTAAGCATAAATCTAGTAACATAAAATGCTACATTGACTAAAAGAATGAATACAAGTGGATTAGTGAATGCTATTGTGTTCGTGTAGCACTGTGCTTAGCCTGGGTGAAACTAGAAAAAAGCTGAACAAACTGGGGGGGGGGGGGGGGGAGAGAGGGAGAGAGAGAGAGAGAGAGAGAGAGAGAGAGAGAGAGAGAGAGAGAGAGAGAGAGAGAGAGAGAGAAATAGAGAAGAGAGAAAGAGAGAAAGAGAGAAAGAGAGAGAGAGAGAGAGAGAGAGAGAGGTCAGGAGGGCAGGCAGTAGGCCAGAGTACATCCTGCCAGTTAGGGGGAAGTGGAAAGTGTAACAGAGGTCAAGCTACATTGTGGCGTAAGCCATGAGTCATTGTAATGACTTGAGTAATGTACAATGTCCTGCTGTTGAATTGAAGTGCTGTGGTATAGCTGAGCCTGAAGGCAGTAGTGTTGAAAGTCATGAGGACACTCCCTGCGCTGCGGTATCTCCTTTACAGAGGTCTTCTCAGGGCATAATGCTGTTTATCTGGGGACATCTGTGCAGCTGTTAAGGATTTAGTCTCTTGCTCAATGACACTTAAGCAGGGTGACTGTTTGCTTGCCAACAGACAAACTAGGTTCTCAATTTTTAGCATATTTTCTCTACACACCACACTTCTGTGGGGAAAAAAAGAGTGCCTTGAATGTGTAACCCCTAGATTCCACCGGGTCCGTCTGCGTCGCGTTACGGCTGCGCCGCGGTTTTGGTCCGGCCTCCTCCGGCGTCATACCCTACCAGGCGCATTTCAAAAGCATTTCAGAAGCGGAGCGTCTTGCCTGCCGGCTCGCAGTTTTTGTTGATTTGGGCATATTTCCTGGACAGGCTACTTTGTACAGACAAAGTTAATAATAACTGTAATATTCCAGTTATAAACAACATGAATCAAAGATGTGTTGCTGTATTTTAGTGGTAAAAAAATGCATTCATCATCATAATTATTCTATATATATATAATTTACACAGTGCCTGTAAACCGGAGGAGAACGCTGGCATTTCTCCTCCTACTTGAAAGACTACGGAGGGATAGGGTCTGCAAAATTAGTTTGTGTGTGTGTATATATATATATATGCTATATATATATGCTCTGAACGCTCCATTTCCTGCCTACCCGACCTTACGGCTGCGCCGCGTCAAAAATAGGATTCATCATAATTTTAGAGGAGCCCTGCGCCGAGCCGCTTCTGGGACGCTTCTGAGCCGTAACGCGCCGCGTGTGGTGGAATAGCACCCATTGACTAGAGTGGCCGCGATCGCTGTGAGCACCGTGGCGCAGCCGTAACGCGCCCGTAACGCGCCCGTAACGCGCCCGTAACGCACCGCAGACGGACCCGGTGGAATCTAGGGGTAAGAGAAGCTGTTCAAAACTTTCAAGAGTTATTTCCTTTGAACTGTGAAGTTGTAACATTACTCCTCGTTTCCCATAGGAAGATTGTTAAAAAAAACGCTGAGTGGAGTTCCCTGCTTTAAATGCTAATTCCTTTCAAAAGGAGACTTTTCACCACTAGGGGGACTGAGAGCACTGAGAATCACTTCATTATAAAAAGTGATCTGTACATAGCATTGCTGCAAATAATGCTGTTGTCAGTAGGACTCAGTCTGCACTTACAAATGATCTCTTGTTTTTCTTTTTTGAAAGAATAATTAAGTTGCTTTACTTGTATAGGTTCTAAAAGACAAAGATGTTTGACACCATGTATGTGTGTTTTTGTGTATACACATGTGATTCATCATGCCAGCTGTGTTGACCTTTAGTAGCTTATTCTGTTAGACAAGAGTCCTGCCTTCCCTGACAGTACAGAGGGGGAGGCTGAGGGAGGAGATGAATCCTCTGTGACACTCTGCTTTTGTTGACAGGGGCTTTTGAGGATTAACAAGGTAAACGTAAATGACAGAACACCAAGAAAAAAACATCCTCTGCAGGAAGACATCAATCTCTCCAGAGCTCAGTTTTTGGCTCAGAATTACATACACCACAAGAGTAATCCAACTGTTGTCACTATTGTCCAAGAAATGCAATGAAAGAAGTGTACGGTTTTACTCACGGTAAAATATCTCTGGTTTATTAAAAGCTGCATTTACCATCCTAATGTACAACTACTAGCATCTCTTTTCTTAAATTTACATCCAATAAATAGCAGGCAACAGAGAAAATTCAGACGACGTCACAGCCTGACTTAGTTTAAATGTTATCTTGCATCATCTAAGTGGAGCAACACTGAAACCAAGCACCTAGCTCTCTCAGTCTGACATTCTCTTGTGGCAATACACTGCATATGTGATGCAAGTGAAACCACATTGAAATGCAAGGGCATTCGGTCTGAAGTGGTGGGCCACAGATTGAGTGTGAGGTGTGTTTGCATGCGTGTGTTTTGTACTGACCCTGTTCTCATCGTAGATGATCTGCACCAGGCTGCGGTGCTTGGCCTCGCTGGGTGGCGGTGAGACCGTCCGCTCTGGCTCGTGTGGCTTTGCAGCCTCCTCCTCCAGCTGGTGCTGTAACACACACACACACACAAACATAGACGACAGTTAACACTTAACAAATCCAAAAAGGGCCCCCATCTTCCAGGAAGACCTGTGGCTCACTAGTTCCTGTTGTGAGGTTAAAGAGTGCGTGTTACATCAACCGTCCCCACCCCCAGCAGGGATGAGACTAACTGTTCTATTAGCCGTAATAGCTATTAACTCCCGAGGGCATAGTTAATCAAAGAGTTACTACAACAGCCGGTAAACAAAGCCAAGGCCCGCTGTGTGGCTGGAACATCCAAAGAGAAATAATGAAGGGAGGGGGACAGAGAGGGAGAAAGTTCAAGAGAAGTAAGGGAGGGAAATGTAGGGAATAAACACCAGACAAATACTGGAAAACAGCAGTGTTGCTCTAATTTACAAACCAGCCTGGCATGCGGACAAACGTTATTTGGAGATTGTAGCCCAGAAACAGTTAATTTGAGTAATTACTGTCTACTGTGAACAAAGCAAAGAGACACTCAGCAAGTAAGAATTAGTTTGGCAGAGCAAGCTGAGAGGAAGTAAAAGAGAAAATCTGGCAGGAGGAGATGCCTTTATGTTCAACTGCCAATCATGTAGAGTTCAGTCATGGCTTCTTTGTCCATCAATCTTCTCTTAAAGGTGTACAGATAGAAGAGAGGAATCGCCATGTTTGAATCTCAAAGCACATTAACACACATCTTTGATAGCAGATTGATGAGGAATTGAAAAGCGTTGATGCAAGTGTCAAAACAACCGAGAAGCAGAGGGGCACTGCTATTAAAAAATACATTTTATCCAGATGTTGAAATGGTGTTAACGGACTAGTCAAGATCATTAAAACTCTCCACTTAAGCACCACCTCAAAAATGAGTTTATGGAGGTAGGCACTTCCTTTGCCTGTGATAATGACAAATATTTAAACATTGTATTTTCAAATGCAACATGGAAATCAGCCGTTTCAAAACATGCTGCCGTTTGTAGCAAAAATGTGAATGTTTAACTTTTAACATGACTTATTTAAGCACTGCTACCGATCATAATAATATGATCAACTTCATGTTTTTGAAAACCACTAGTAAATAAAACAATTTGAATAAGAGGAAGACCAAATTGACCTTTATTAAGTATATTTCTGTCCTGATCTTAAAAAAGAAAAACACAATCATTGAGAATTTAGCATAACTTTGAAAGCTACCACAAAACTACCAGCAAGAAAAAGCAGACAATAATTTGCGACATTGCGAAAAAACAATCTTTGTCATCTCAATTTGATAGAATATGTTTGTAGAAGGTCTCGAAGTTGCGTAGGAGGCAGAAGCTGAGTGTATTCAGCTGTAACTAGCTGCCTGGAGGCCGAGGCCGAGTGTCGCAGAGTGGCGTGCATATAGCTGATTTACAGTTAAGTCAGCCCCTCCCTCTCATCTCCTGTCAGGGGCTTCAGAAGGGGGGAAGGCGGCCTCCAGAGGAACCACATGAGAGCAGAGCAAGATGGATCATCATGTGCCACAAGAGGCCGGGATAAGCATCTGGTGAGGGGAAATGCAGACATTCCCATTGAGACCCCCCTTCCCTCTCCCAACCCACCGCGGAGTAAAATAAAATAAACCAGCCATCATGATTGGCTGACATGACACAGGCTGACAGTAACCTAAGCCCTAACCCCCGCCCTTTCACTAACACAACTCTTTAAATAAAGTTTTACCCTGCGACTTAATTTGTCCAGATGTTTTAATGCTGGAAGTGGGCCGGACTGTAAAAAAAACATTGTGTTAGTATTGAGCAGGGGGGGGGGGGGGGGGGGGGTTTGATTAATGCTTGTAAGCAGCAGAGCTTAGCCTTGCAATAGTTTACAAATTCAACCCGAAGGTTGGAATCAGATACTTCGATTTATTTTGGTTACTAATGCATCTTGGAAAAGTACCCAGATTAATGATATACTAAGTATTCTTCAATGACAAGAAGCAATGTACAAAACAAATTACTGGACAAAAACAATAACCACTTTTGTCTTGTTATTATGTTATTTCTCCAACAAATTGTTAGGTACTTAGAGGAAAAATAACCACTCAAGTGTGTTTTTCTGAAGTTCAACATGGTCAGGCTTTTGTATTTAAACCAATAGTTTTATAAAGAAATGAGAGGGAGGGGAGATGACAATAGCATCATTTAATGATTAAGAATGATATCACTTGTATACTGCGAGATCACTCTGAGAACAAGACACGTAGCTGCCATTTTTACATCAACCTAAAGCTATTTTTGAATGTTTTTTCTAATATTGAGTATGATAAACACAGTGCATGGTGGAGGAGGAAGCCAGGAGGAAAAGAGGAGCTCCAGCGTACAGATTCTCTACTAAACATGGCAGACGGCCAAAGGGAGACAGCAGGGATATGAGTGGTTTGGCAGTCACAAAACCGCAGCCATAATCTTCCTCCTCCAATGGGGAAGCTGTTATTTATAGCCTTATATATTGTAACCTACTTTTTCTCCTAAATAAAAAGCTGAAGAGAAAGGGAATGCAGCTGCTTGGGGGAGTGCGTGAACAGAATTGTGGAACATTGAACAAGAAACCGCTACAGATTTGGAACGAAGCGATTACAACACAGAAAAGAGTGTTTTAGACTTTATTGCACTGGTGCCAACTCGAGCCTGGCAGGGAAAGTCACTTTGGAAAACCACACGTGAACATTTAAAACAAGCCACACAATGCCTGTGAGAAAACTCAACAAAGATGCCAGCACTGGCGAAAGCATCTACAAGCATGACGGATAAAAGGTACCTCATTGTGCTTTTAGGCATGCCTGCCTAGTCAAAATGTGAGCAGAATGCACATAAGAGACATCACAAAGTGGCGTCTACTCAAATGTCTTCAATGTCACAAAGAGTTTTCTACACAGAGGCTTCACTTGGGCCGTCCGTATGTTAACGGTATATTAGCGACGGTATATTAGCGACGGTATATTAGCGGCGGCATACCCCACAGGTATGTTTGGCGAACCATTACAGCTTCTTTTTTTTATAATAATAAGTCAGAGAAACCAAGGCTGCCCCAACACATTATGTTGTTGGTTTTCCTCATTAATGTTACAATATTTAACCTCGACACATTCCTTATTAAATTCATGATCTAGCCTGCAAGACCGTGTGCAAACCGTTCATGACTACTGTGAACACTGCATCAAAGTGTGTGTACTGTACAGTCTATGCCACTACTCCTAAAAACACAAGCACTGTCCTGTGTCTGTCTTGCCATCGGCAGATAAGTGTTAAAGGGGCAAGCCCAAAATGTAGCCGGTAAAACAAGTACAATTTAGGGAAGAAATATACATTTGTCATTTAAATCAATTCCAACGCAAAATGCATGTACAGCTGGCCAACACAGAACTCCTCCACAGAGATACACAAATCCAACTTTAAATGAGGGAAATAAGCAAGGAACACTTGAGATTCTGCAATCCCTCAACAGAGCATATCAATAAAAGACAATATAATGTACGAGCAGATCCATAGGGGTGCTAACCTCTTTCTTGCGAAGCTTGCAGATCTGCTGCTCCACCATGGTGATCTCCCTGTCCACGCGGTCCATATTCTGGATCAGCTCCTCCTTGGAGAACCGAGCTGGCACCAGATCCAAGTCGGGGTCCATATGGACCGGGCTCACAGGGGAGATCGGCTCCAGCTTCCCCATGGAACTCCCACGGTCCTACAGACGCACAGGGGTAAAGGGGACATGATTAGATGTAATAAAATGGATAACATTATGATCCATTTTACACTAAAAAAATGCATCAACCAAACAAAATGAACATGTGTTATTAAAATCAGAAGGGAATGAGGCAAAGGGCAATATGTTCCACGTGGTATGCTATACAATGTTTATTAAAAAACGGATTCTAATTAACTTGTTCATTGCACCCTCCTCTCCTGTCAAATACTTCCCTGTTTATCTCTGATTAAAAAGGCCTAGAGGTTACACTACAAAAATAATAAACACAGTATGTGTATTCCTTGGTAAGGTAACAGACGGCAGTAATTAATTCTACTAGTAAAGTCGTAGTAGTGCCTCAGTGTCACTAGACTAAGGCCCCGCTCACACGGGACCGTTTGCGTTTATGCACAGTATGCGTATTCAAAAAAGTCTTCCGTTCACATGCATTTGTTTCATTTAACGTGTCTGTTCAAACGAGGCCGCTGGAAACGCTGTAGTACATATGCTGGGACTGTAAGTGGCGCTGTAACTTCCGCCAAAATACACCAAAAGCCGCGAAGAAGAGCAACCCGAGCAGCCCCGCTGCAATGTTGCCATGGCTACCCTTCTGTTTAAGCCCCGAAACTGAAACTGAAACTGAAAGAAACCGAATCTGTGGATATTGCATCCCGCCAAGAAGCACGTCTCCGTGGAGAGGACGGCTCAGAAAGAGAGAGATATTCTCTACAAACACCGGGTGAGATCCTCCTTTGTCAATATAATGGATCAATGCATGAAATCTGACTCTGTTTATTTTGTTTAAGGAGTATATTGGGCGTTAACAATTCTGGTTTGCCTTTTATAATATTATTTCATTCAAGAACCCCTTGTGCGTTTAATTAACACAGCTATTTTTGATAGTTGCTACAGCAGTAAGCAGGAGAGGTGGGGAGAGGCGGGGCTATCGCTATTTTTTCAGGAAATATTCGTATAGAGGTGATTACACGGACTCGGTTGACCCCCCAGAGCGTTTCGTTTGCAAATCTATCCACCTTGGGACCCGTTATTGTTTGTGGGGTCAGTTTCTATCGGCCTCGTGTAAATAATAGGGCTATACGCACGCGAAACTATGCAGATACAAGCAGTTTTCTCCTCGTGTAAACGGCGCCTTAACTAATGGATTATGCTCAAGAGCACTGGCAGCTGGCTCTTTTTAAGAGACTTTGTTTAAAATGTGAAATTTGAGGACGTAGGCAAGACTAAAGAATAGTACAGCCATGTCTGGCATAAAAATGTAAAGGTTTGTCGGTCACACAATACACTGCCTTGCTTTTAAACAGAGTAGCGATTTATCAAACCACTGATCCTCCAAGTACTCCAACGTTAAGTACGTTATCTGAGAATACAATCCTAATATCTAAATATCAAAACAATTCAAACTACTTTTTCCAAACTATTTTGAATGCATGTTGTGCTTTAAATCATCTTGGAACGCATTGGATGTACAGACAAATATAATCCACTTTTCTGCATGGTCACATTAGAAAAAAAAAAAAGAGAATAGCTTCTGGCATGGCTCAGTTTTTTATAAAATGACGTCCTTGAATGCAAATAACACCACCTTCCCCCTGCTGTGTCACAGTTCAGCAGGACAGAGTGTTCTCTCAGGGGAAAGAATGGTGGTGATGTTTAACCAAATATCCCTTTATTATTTGTTTGCCTCGAAATCACGATCCATAGGATTTCATGGGCGTCATATGTTTATATGAAATGTAATTATTTCACTAATTCATTAGTTGCCACAGTTTTCTATTGGCAGCGACATCAGTGTTGTTTTTAATTTACTGTTGCTATTTTGTTCTACTGCAAACTCAAGGAAAGTTTAGTGCGTGCTAATGTTTAGAGGGTGTGTTTAACCACGAGGGATTTGATGGTACGTAGTAGTCTGCATTAAGGCTGTTTCGTTTTCCCTCTGGTCTTGTGCCCTACACTGTCCTCTGTACTTGTCAACAGTACAGCAGCACATCAACAGCTACTACACCTGTGACATAGTGTGAAAAGGTCACAGGCCAATCGCTAAGCCCTTGGCCAGGCACAGCTTACATCTTTTAATGCCCTCGGCGACCCTGGTCACATTTAGAACATTGCTCTGAATGATGTCTCGGGCTGTGCATGCATCAGGGTTTTTTTTAAATTACCCCTGGGTGTTGTAGCATGTCTGTGTAAATGTGTTCTGTTTCATAAGCACTAAGTCACGTAGTCTTAAGTGGATGCATTCCAGTCCCCACTTAAATAAAGCCGTAGACATCCTATTTTAATGCTAAGAGGTGCATCTAAGTTCACAATGGTCTCTCTCTTCTGACATCAGTCCCACTCTTATGCAGTACACAACAGCTGGTGCACAAAACCACTCAAACTGAGGTGACTGAGGTAAGATTTGCTAAGGTTTAATGCTGAATATTATCATAAAATGCAATTCATATTAAACTGGGAAGTAAAACTGAAATTAAGAGTGAAACGTGTGTCAGTGGGGATCTATGGTCTAAACAAGATTACTTACTTGAGATTAACCCGTGTAAGTAGAATTGACGGCCTTGATGAAAATGTAAATATTTGTTTTTGCAGACTGATGTTGCTGCTACCTTTTTAAAGAAAAAAAATGTTTAATGTAGTTATTTGAGCCAATGACTGATTGTCAATTCTATGTCAAGTTGACAGATATGGATTACTGCTGTGCATTGGGTTTTGTCTTTTTTTTTGCAACAAGAAGAGTCTTTGAGAGTTGTTTGGTGGCATATGACATGTCACTGCTGTCCTATGCTTTGCTTAACATAGACTCAAAGAAAAACACTACTTGAGATTTTTGTTCAAGCCAAAGCGAGTTGGTTGCTGGCATGTTTCGTCCCTGATCACTCAACATCTAGTGCCAATAAAGGTCATTGATTCAGATACAGAGCTGATTATATTAAGACTGAAAATGACAGCCGTCACAGAGTAATCTCTGGCTGTCAATGTGAGCAGCGACTTTAGTCTCAAGTGTAGGTCCATAGATTTCCATTTTATCACTGAATAAAACAATTGTCTTTGGAATATTTATTTGTCATGTGCTTTTGTTTCACTGGTTCATGCTTTTTCTGAACCATAACATAAAATGTGTACGTGTATAAAGAATCAAAAAACATATTGCCAACGTCAATACACCCTGTCGACCAATCAGAAAAATAATTTTCAGCCCCCTGCGGTAAGACTTATATATGCTTACACTAGTCTGATGTTTTCACTGTAAGACTCAAGTTAAAGTATGTGTCCAGGTCGTTGTTCAGTTATACAATCCTGCCGCAGAGCGTCCCTCCTGCCGGGCTGCTGACAGCGCTTTCAGCAAAACACTCAGTCACGCTGGACAGCAGTAGAGGAGGTTGTACATAAGTCTGGTTCAAAAGTAGTTTATCCGGCTTCATTGACAGTCAGCACTGCTCTCCGCTTTCCATTACCCATCTCCACTTTCATCACAGTTAGTTTTGTGGTTTGTTTGTTTAGAGACAAGGCTCGGTTTGTAAAGTTTAAAGTGCTACTCTTCTCCTGCTCTGTGAAATGAAAAAGTGCAGTTAATCGATTGCGAGTTGACTCAGGGTCATCTCGGCCAATGACTCGATTGATCAACTGATAGAGGGAAGTCCTTTACACCAATGCCGATAAGCTAATACTGACTATATGTCAGCCCTGCCTTTTTATTTGGCTGGGCTTTAATCTTGAGGGAGGGCCAGATATCTTACATAGGGACATTCAGACACAGGGTGTATTACTAGTCTACTTTGCTCACTCATTGAGCAATTTATCGTACCTTAAGGAAACTGTCGCGTGCATGGACAATGTTTACGAGCGCCTGTGTAAACAAGTCTTGAATTCTAACCTGATCTTACTCTCTGTATAACCAACATATCTGGATAACTGTACAATGGTGTACTCGAACAAAATGCTGTTCTTCCCTGATTCACCTTCCAAGTGAGTCATGATACAAGCATCAGCTTTGTTTTAAACAACTGGCCTACTCCCTCTTTTATTGTTGGTCTTTGTCTTACTCCTCCCTTTCCCTTTTCACCTCTTTCTGCGCCTCTCTACACTCGCCCTTTGCCTTATATTCAGCTGGATCTTTCCTTCCATCTCCACTATCATTTGGTAGATTTGTTCCGTGCGGTGATTGCCTCTGACATGACTTATGTAATGGGTTTACGGCTCTCTCTGCTCTGAGGGGAATTACTGGCATTCCTGCTAGCTTAAGGGTCGATGTTTTTGTTCCTGTACCCTCTGTTGTTGGTGTATCTATTTACCATTCCTTGGCTGTCTGCCTCCCCTGGCAGTTGGAAGCACTCTGTGTAATGTCAGGAACGCCTCCCCACCAGCAGCTCTACACTGCAAGCAAGCCTTTTTGATGTGCAGTTTCACACAGTTTCATCCTCGGTCGTTTGAAATCTAGGTCAGCTCAATTACTTATTAATTACTTATTATTCTCCTCACTGCGGCTCACAGAGCTTCAGCTCCTGCAATGCAGAACCTGATTCTAGGACTTCTGCTGGGTTAAATCCAATAAAAGCCTGTGTGGCCTTTCAGGAGAATAGGAGGACTGATCAGAGAACAAAATATATTTTTATAATTAAGTTTGAATATTTTTGAGATAAAAAAAGGGGTAACCATGTATAAGTCATATACATTTTAATCTTTCAAAATCTTCTTGTAGATGTCCAACTTCTAAAAGCCCAAACAATGGTGTCCTAGAATATTGGTACATACTGACAAAAGTATTTCTTTCTATTCCATTTTGTTCTACTAATAATAGGCAACAAATGACATGGAAATCCATTAAGAGACTTAGGAGGCAAATTTGGCTTGACGGATTGATGCAATTCCTGGCTAAAGAGAAACTGTTGATAAGATTTGGGGCTCATTCATAATATTTATAGGAGTAGGATTTGCCTAATGCCTTACAGTGCTTATTTTTTTTCTCTTTAGACTTTAGGGTGATTATTAAGATCCGATTTTGTTCCTCGTCAGCAGGTACGATCATTTGTGAATGCCTTTATGTTTAAATACAATAAACATGTCTGTAAAACAAAAAGTATCAATTCAAATGCTGACACACCCAGTCCTCTATTATCACATTAACCATACATACAATTTCCAAGTCCAGCCAAGTACTTCATGTTCTTCAGAGTCACCATCGAGCTCTGATATACTGCGAACTGTCAATATTATACAGTGTATGTTATAGTGCCTACTGACCTTTGACATATCCTCAGCCCCTCCCATGGGTAATTGTGGGCGATGGGATGAAGGCCTCATCAGAGACTCCGGTCCCATCTCCAAGCGAGGTCGTTTGATCTCTGCATACTCCACCTCTGATTGGTTGCTAGGCTCTGGCAGGTAAATGTGCTCATAGCGAATATGCTGCTCTTGTCCTCTGCAAAATACAAACGTAGGAGATCAGAGAAAAGCATTTAAAGCAACTGAAAGACTAAGATGAACAGTAAGCTCGAGGCAGCCATTATTGAAAGAAAAAGTGATTTGTCTCTAATGTAACAGCTGATAAAAGAAATACAAGTTAGAAATACCTAATGTAAGAAGTGTATTTTCTTCGATTGATGTTTCAAATCAGGTTTTTAGCCACACTAGCATTTTGATGGCAATCTGAATTGCAAAAAGACATTTGTGAAAAATGAACCCTTATGAGTATGAGACCATTTGAACCATTAGTGTTTCACCTGCATCAGTGCACCTCGGGAAACATTGACTGACTACATTCCCATTAGTCTTGGATGTATTATGAAGTTAATTCCAACATGATAATACGTCTAATGTTAGCATACAAAAGTCAGCATAGGGTTTTAGTCAATTTAAACTGATGAAGTCCCAAAGAGGAACAAACAGAAGGACTGTATGTGAAGTTTGACTATCCAATACAAGACCAAACCTCAGCATTGGAACAAATAAAGCCTTCCAAAGTAAAAGCTGGATGCCAATAAACAAAGCAAGTCAAATCAATGGAAAAAAGATACAAATAAACTTTCAAATAATATGTCAAGTCAAAAAGGAGCTGACAGAAGGCAACGATAAGTGAGACAATACTGATCTTCTCAGCGAAAGGCAAGGCTTGGAGCATTTTTTGTTTTAACATGTTGGCATAACCTAATCCCATTAATACAGGTTAACAACACAAAGAACATTTGTATAAAAGCCCAAGATGACAGATACAGGTGGAGATCAGGCAACACTTGGTCTTTACGATTGTTTTCAAGGCACAAACCATCGCCAGCTGGCTTGATTTGGTTCAAAATGTATCATAATAAAGTAATCACTGAAGACTATTTTATTCAAGTAAGCAGGAACATGTAATTGTCCACTCAGTACAGGAAAGTGGAGAGAAAGGGAAGCTAGGAAATGGTGACTCACTGTAACACTACCATCTAATGGTTTTACATGTAGCAGCATATGGTGGAGTATGGGGTTTAGCAGGAATTGCTTAGCAGTATAAACATGGTCATACATGCACACAAAGCCAAAGAAAAGTGCTTTGTTGAGACAGTAGGAGCTATGGCACTCCCTATACTGTACCCCAAAACTAGAAGTGATCTGGATGGCTAGGAATGCTAACAATTACATTACCAGCCGCAGGAGGAGGGGAACGCACCATACTGTAACGTGATCTACTCATGATGTGCTGCATGTGTGGGGCTAGTATAAACCACATTCTGCATGTGTTCGTCATTGGAGGGCGGTGGATAGCATCACGCTAAAGTGCACCAGTAAAAATGGATCCGTGGTGTGCAATCAAATGACAGCTTCTGAATGTTAACTGCACTTAGAAGATTTTATTAGCCCACTTGGCGCTCTGTTCTTTCTTAGGAAACAGTTTTTCAAGTCTGCCCTGGAGGCAGATGCCAGAAAGTCCGTGACTTTGCTGCCAGTGTCAAAATGGAAGTGGCTTCTGAAAAGAAGAGGGGAAACACAACCATAATTGCTGGTCCAGGCCCACAATGGCCCAGTGTGTGGTTTCTTTATGTGCCAAAGAGCATGGGGCCTGTCTCTGCTGAGTTGGGTGCTGGTGGTGGTTTGGTGAAACGATCGCCAACATCCACTAAGAGATTTATATAAGAGAGATATGTCATGCTGTTGTTATGTAATATGATGGGCTAAATATGCATGTTAAAGGTGTCATGGGGTGCTGAGGAAACAAACTCATTGATCAGAGTGATTGCCTTAATAGTACCTCACAAAAATAGGGTGCCAAAATGAATACCCAGATGGCGTGTGACTACTCCCCCCCCGGACACATTTTTCTCACTCATTCAGTCACACACTTCCTCATCTCCATAGAGGGCTGGCACTTACATAATCACATCATCAAGCTGTAGCCCCCCCTGCACTCATCTTCCCCTCCATCCCCCTCTTTCTTTCTCCCTCTCCCTCTTGTGAGCGTGCAGAATAATCTGATCCCTGGGGAGGATTTGTCTGGAGGATGAGAGAAAGAGATGTGTGTAGAGGTGGTGGGTGTGTGTGTGTGTGTGTGTGTGTGTGTGTGTGTGTGTGGGTGTGGGTGTGTGGGGGACAAGGACAGGGGCAACGCAACAGCTCCATTACTTTCTTAGTAGTTTGGAACAGAGATCATGTGTGCTGATAGCAGCCTGTTATTGTGAAAGCACTATGGCGTTTGCGTGGCTTCCAATGTCTTGGCTGTTCCCCGGAGGAATAGCTCCACAGCTGTGCACGGCGCAGGGATGGCGAGCAGAGAGAGGAGCCACCACAGCTGGGATGAATGAAACGGAGAAAGCGCAGAAAAGAGGAGGGACTATGTGTGGCAAAAACTTAAGCTCTCAACTTTTCTCTTCATGTAACTGAACAAAAACTCTTAGTACTCACACAGCAGGGGACGGGGATATTCTCAAATGCTTAATGATGGATACAAATAAAGGTTACTTTCTTTCTAGAAAGATGCATATGTTGGAAAAATCATCAATTCCTAGATGGTTAATCTAATTTTGAGTAATTCAACATTGATTCCTTTTAATTTTTATCAGAATTCAAAAGGCTCTTCTTTAGAAAATACTATTGCAAACCATTGTTGATCATTATTGGCAACAAAATGTCCAGCTATGTCAGTAAACTCGACAAGGATTAATACAATCAACAACACGACAAATAAATGAAGTAAAGGGGAAACCTATTTGTGCAAATATTTTTAAGAACACACAGACTAAGGTCTGAATACTATTTTTGATACCCATTTACTACATTCAAGTGCACAGATACATAACATAATAACAGCTATTGGACAAACTCATTTAGCATTTTTGCACCAGTTTTGTTTACACTGTTCTCTCGGTTCCAGGCAGACATTAAGTGGTTTCTCTGTGTTGTTATTCTTGCCATAAAATGTATTCACTCCCTTTCTCAAGTAGCCTCAGACAGATGGGAAGAGGCGGAGTGACTGAGATATTGCCTGAAGTAAAGAGGAGGATGAAACAAACAACTAGCACAGCGGCTCACCAATGATTATACTGTGGAGGCTTTCCGACCTGTAATTAGGGTACATTTGAGCATTAACTCAATAGTACATTATCACCTCGTCTTCACTCCAGTACAATTCAAGAGGAGAAGATTGCTACATAGATCTATCATACTAAGAAAGTAATAATGCCATCCTTTTAGGAAAATGCAGCTTCTAAGGGCCATGTTGGTGCTTATGTTCTCTGTGGAACACAATGGAAACAAGCCTGGGCTTGCTACAAATGGAGACATGGTTTGCAGAATGACTGAGATGTATTGAAGGACAAGCACACATCTGAGAAGAGGATATATTGAAGTATTGCCAAGGTAAGAATAACTTGATTCAGACTCCGAATGAAAACATAGAATAAATGCCTCAGACTGGACTGTAAGCCCTCTAAAGTAAAGCTGAAAGCCTGATATACTCCACTGAAAGACTTCCTGTCCACAGAGCCTGCCAGCAAGACCAGCAGTTTATTTCTCATCTTCTGAAAAACAGCCTCACTTCTCCACTATCTCACATGGCATCTGTGTTGCACAGACAGCATCATGTACACTGAGAGCGACTGCCAAAGCACCAGGGATTGACCGAAGGGTGTCAGGAAATCAGGAGCTGGTGTGTCACAGGGTGGTGTTTATTTCTCTATCAAACCATTACCCAGTGTCCCCACATTGTGGGTTAGGCTAAGATAACCGTTAAACAGGAACAACACACAGCTCTGGCATATACATGTTGAAAACCCTAATCCCATCTGATTGATACTTAAAGACGCCAACACAGTGTGTGACCGAGTCATTCTACCATCTGCTGTCTGCTGTTACTACTCTGAGGCTAGGGGAACGCAAATTATTTTACATGATAAGAACGACAGCCCCACATTTCACAAAAAACATACTGTTAATGTCACTTATACCTACAGTATAGCAAGATAGCTGTTTTCTAGGGGAAATCAACCCTTTAAAATGGAATGTTGTACTACTAGCCTGTTTCAACACATGCAAGAAAACCGACCATGACAATCAACTGAAGAGAAAAACATTCTTGCGACTTATCCTCTGTGCATCATGCAAAATTCATGGCATGCACATCAATTATTCACAAGTACTCATCCTCAGAAAAGCATGGCTACATAAATAATAAACAACTTTGGTAGGAACAAGACCTAAGTCTCCAGAGGGAAAGTCCTATACATACAATGCTTTGCCTGACTAACTGTTGGTCTATTGAAGATGGCAAAACTCTGCAAGCTCCATTGCCCCCGCACAGCTGTTTAACACAACATTGCATAGGAACGGCTTGTGGATGCCAATTACATTACATTACATTACATTACATGTTAGACGCTTTTATCCAAAGCGACTTACATACTCAATACTGTGGGCAATCCCCACAGGAGCAATTTGGGGTGAAGTGTCTTGCCCAGGGACACAACGACATGCTGACTGCAGTGGGGTTTGAACCTGTGCTCCCCTGATCCGAACACCAACGCACTAGTCCGCTGCGCCACAGCCTACCCGCAATACACAAGGATTACACTGGGGGAGGGTTAACAGGCAGAGGCTTTAGTAGAATAATACTGCATAAAAATGCAGCCTGCAGGACGCTTCCTTTGTCCTTCAGTCATCATGACTACACAAGGACAACCACAGTGAAGGGAGAACATTGCCATTTTTATGTGAATAGTATGTAGAACTAACGTTGACTGACAGATAACACCACAATATACATCTAACATAAAAAAAAAAATATATGAAACTAAATATGTCATGTAATATATATAAGGCTGGAGTGTATTTTTATTGTTTTCTTTCTTTCAGTTTTCCATGTTTTTTCAAAAGATATATATATATATATATATATATATATATATATATATATATATATATATATATATATATATTAAACAGTACTACAATTACACCAATTGCTATCTATGTTCTAGGCTGATCTTAATTGTACCTGCTGATTTCGATGTTGGTTCTTTCTAAGTATTATAACAGCATACACACATTATTGACATTTTCTTTAACCAAATATTAAATATCTTGTCCATACATATTAGAGAAAAATTATAGAAAACTCTATACCATGTATGTAGGCCTGAAATAGAGAGTCAACGATTTATTATTTATAATTATCTAACACTATTATTATTTTTATATAATCTATATCTATATAATCTATTCATGAATCAGTATCAATTTCCAAGAGTGTGAAGGTGTTTGTTTTGTATAATACTAGCTCCCACACTGAGCAGCGTCCTGCTGGCTGCTCACTACTGACAGCGCACGGAGCGAGAGGAGAGGGAGAGACCGCTGCCATTACTCTGTTCAGCATGCATAGGAATGAATAACAATAGAATAAATAAAGTGTTTGTCTATGTAACTTGTTCCAAACGCACAAAATACAGTGTAATTAAAAGGCACAAGGAATCAAAACGATCTGCAAACTTAAAAAATGGCAATTAGATGTTCATTAGTGAGGATAGATCTTATATATGAGCCTGGTGCACTGACCTCTCATTCCCGGGCTGAAACTCAGAGAGTAAGGAGGGCCGGCGGCGATGGGGCTGGGACAGGTGGGAGCTGTAGTCCCTGGCATGATGAGAGTGGTAGTCAACTAGTCCCACTTCCTGCAAGACAAACAACAACAAGTTGTCAGCATGGATCATCCTTCTGAATGATGCAAAGAGCAAAGTGAATAAAAACATTTTGATTTCATGTAATTTCACCCTGCCTTTTTTCTTCTGTAATATCCAACAATTTTCTCTCCAGCGCTCATTAATCGCTCTCCTTCCATTTGTTTCACACACAAGTGGGGTAACCCATGCCGCTACTGTAACATTTCCCCTCTGCCAGTCAGGGATTGTGGGACACAGCCCGTCAACCCTCATCTCACCCTGAATGTGTTGACAAGAGGGAGTGCTAGGATTAACTACAGGTGCAGCTGTGGACTTCCCGGGGGGTAGGCCGGGGCTTCTCCCGCCAAAGAAGAACAAAAAAGGCCTTGCAAACACTGGAGGTCACTGAGTGAACTTGTACATCAGACAGCCGCCTGTTCTTTGAAGCACAGACAGCTTTGCCCCCAATACATAGAAGAACATAATCTTGATAATTAGGACATTTCTATGGAAATAATGGGGAAAGTCTTAATGTGTCTCCATGATGTCAACATGAACTGTCAACTTGTACATCTAATGAGGGAACAGCTCTGTGTGCATAACATTGCAACCTGGGAAAGTTTTTGTTGGAAAAACACCAGTGGGGACCCCTAGGGTCAGGCCTCTTTCCAGTGGTTCAGAGTAATGCCCTGTTTACTAAATATTCAAGCAGGCAGAACCAGAATGACAGATCCAGTCAAATCTTTCAAAGGGTTTCGGGAAAAAGAAAGTTGATGCAGTTCATGTGGAGCCCTGAAACGCATTGTGTGCCAGACCGCTTACCGTGTGTGCCCGTTGCAGCTGTAGTGGTAGACTGGCAGGGTTTGGGAGGTGCCGTGTGTCCACAGTCCTCCGGCCCGGCGGCCCAGACTGGGGATGAGAGGACATGCTGGCACAGCCGCTTCCTCTACAGGCAGGAAGTGGGTATGGCTGCAGAGCGGATGCTGTGCATTATTAGCTGTTTCTCTTAGCCAGCAACCTGCGGAGAAAGAGAAAATTGGCATGAGACTTTATTTGTACTTGAGCAACCCTGGTGGCATGATTTTGGCCACATTCCTAAGTGAAAAGAACAATGCATAAAACATTGTGCAATATGTGTGACGGTTGCTCGTGAACAATTTGATGTTTTCTGGCTCGCACCTCTGAAGTAGCTAGAGGTGAAAGTGTGTGTCTGTCTGCTCCGGATATCAGAATGTCATCACCTCCCTGACACAGATGCTCCCCCCTTCCATTGCTCCTAGTAAAGTAGTGAGAGTCCCTGCACCTGCTAGACTGAACCCCCCCTTCACTGCTTACTGAATAGCTCACTGTCCTCACACACTGAGGACTCACAGACAGACATGTCAAGCAGCCAGCCCGTAAACCAAGAATACTGAATTTAATGGGGCTTTACATGAAACATAAATAACTCCATGCCAGACGGATATGTAGTCCATGAATGTCAGGCACTAGATTTTAACTCCAGATGACATTATGCAAACTATATCGACCTCATTTACAAGGGAGCAACATATTGACCAAGAATGAAAACAAGTCAAAACTGGCACAAACCTGATGTAACACACTGAATGTTTACTTTCTCTGTAAAAGCTAAGGGAATTATGTTTATGGTTTACATATATAGGAAATAAGAAAGGAAGTAAAGTAAGAGTGAAAATAATGAGGCAAAAAACTAAGGGCCATAATCCTTTTACAGTGACCATGCAGATTACATCACACACAACAAAGGGAAATCTATCACAATAGCTTATGGCCTTATTAGATCATATTTAAGGTTCTGAAGTTCAACAAAAATGTAATGTTGACACAAGGATGAGCTCTGGTCAGCTTTTTATAGCACCATTCTCAGACACTTAAAAAGCCTGTGCTAGTAGTAGTAGTAGTAGTAGTAGTACTAGTAATAGACATGTGTCCCTGTGACTCCTGCCAACAAAGAAATTAGGACTCCTGCCATTTCTAGGAGCCTCTGACTGATGACGCCTCTCTCATAGATCACATTTCAGTGTGTACAAGCCACACAACAGGCACTTTGGCAGAAATATGGGCTCACAACATGGCAATGACTGAAATCTTTACAAGCAGTGCTTCAGGTGTACTGCTAAGCCACCACCACTGCGACCACATCCATAAAAAAAAGTAGGGATGGGAATTTGAAAGCAAATGTATATTCGAATATTCGACCCCCAAAAAAACGGTTAACCGATTAACCGAAATGTACATATCCTATAAAAAAAAAAATGAAAAATGTGGAAAAATGTTTTACAAAAAAATAAATAAAACATGTTCAAATAAGTATAGAAACCAAGTCGAATTTGTCAAATGTATTGAAGTGGTGATCACAGTTTGAACAGTTGACAGCTATAGGCCTACAGCTTTCATGCTTAAAACATAACTTGGTTTTTAAATTAAAGAGGGATCATACACGAACAACATAACGGGTTAGGGTAACGTAACCCTATTACAACAGAGATCAACCTATAACAGGGCCTATGCACAAAATGCAGCTATTCAATACTCATTCTTGTTTAAGAATATGAGCATGTCTACATGCTCAGGGGAGAGGCGGGTGCGGAGGCGATTCACAATCAGGCCAGCTGTAGAGAAGACCCTCTCAGCTGGAATTTGGGCATACGATGAGGTTTGAGTCTGCGTGATCTGCGTGTAGGGAGGGGCAGCAGCCATATCATTAGCTAGAACTAGCTAGATCTGATGGATTTGGACATAAACGCGAGTGAAGTATAACCGGACGCGAGAGAGAGATCAGCACCTGCAGCTCTGCCCGCTGTGAGGGACCGGTGAGCGGAGCAAAACACACCTTTAGACCTAACACATTTAGCTATGGCACTGTCGTATACATTGAATTATTCCATTTGATAATATGTAATCAACTTAGGCACCCCTCCCAAAAAAAAAAAAAGGGTATTATGTATGCTAGCAGCAACACACGGAGTTAACTCAATTACACAAACATCACATGGGTTAATGATTAGAGGTAACTGAGTTATTTATTTTGTTAAAGTTTCAGCTATTCTGTTTACAATTCTTTATTTAATACGATTTAATACGATTTGTTCAAACATTGTTGTTTCTTTTGATGTGAAATATTATGTATTTAATTTAAATAAAAAGCAATGTTAGTTTTGTTCACAATTTGTTTAGTTAGTTTACCTTGTTTTTTTCTCCAAAAGAACCGATAAAAGTACCGTTAAAAGACCGGATCGATAAGCGGTATCGATAAAAGTAGTAGTACCGTTAAAACCTTAACGATACCCATCCCTATTCATAACTCATATTCGAATACCTGAATAATTTCGAATATTCGATTAATCGTTCCCATCCCTAAAAAAAAGTAGAACCATTTTGGTTTGACACAAAATGTAATTTCCCACCTCTATCAGTTTGTTTTGTATAAAGAATAATAACAGTAACAAAGCCAATATTACTTAACCATCATTACAAGGAGTGTTGATAACATTTGAGATGTGATTATTTGATATTCAATCTGTAAATGTAAGATTGCTATAAAATAAATTGTCAACACATTTATTGAAAAATCCAAATAAAAGACCTGTCATAGTTGCGGTGTAGGACTGACACAACACTGCTGTTTGTCTGTTTGGAATCTGTGGTAGTGTTTATATAAATGTCAGTGCTGTCACAACCACATGAACATATTTGGAGACAAAGTGAGTTATTGTGGGAAATTACAATTTATGTAACAATTGGTTGAACTTAAATACATTGGTAACCGACAAACTGTAATACTAGCTCACTAGTGCTAACCGCAGGTCAGCTAATACCAGGCCCCTGAAGGTACCATCCTAGATGTAGAGTAATCACTTCTGCAACAAATAGTAAACAAGCATTACTGGATCTATGAACACCACAAGGTTCAGGCCTACATTGTTGGTATAAAAGAACCTATGGTAGAGTGCCAGCGTGCCAGTCTCTGTTGTCTGACTCTTCATAGCTGTACAAAGAGAGGCCTTCTCTATCCTTGCTTCCTGCCCCACTGTCACAAATACAAAGTGTCACTTGATTTCAGTTACGCAGAAGGCTCTTTTACGAGAGGCTGAACACGGCTCTGGCGTTAAGGAACAGAGGCGCTCTGTAAACATCCTCAGAGAGGACAGGAGATAGAAAACACTGCTAAAGTTCTCATATTGGCTCAATAATTTTCATCTGTGTAGGGTAGTTGAAAACTGTGGCTTCAAATATTTTCAAAGAACTGGTGTATACTTGTCTTTATGAGAGACAGACCTAGATAAACCGACCACACAAAGGGAAGTGCTAACGTGATTGAGTAGACTAGTGAAGTTCTAGATGAACAAAACTCATGATATTGACATAGCATGCATATATGCACAACATGGCAGACAAAAAGGCCAGGGAGACAAAGAGAGGGGGAAATGAGCCATCCTCATTGGAAGCCTCTGTTTGATGACTGTCCAGTCCAGAGAGACTCCCCTGAGAACAAGTCAGAATGCAGTCACAAGATCTGCAGACAACATAAAAAACCTGAATCAAGATGAGAGGGCTAACACAATGAGAGAGCTTTGACATAAACTCTGAGGCGAATGGGGCCTTTCCAAGCGAGAGGCTAAACACATGCACTGGCACTGCTACAGACACCCACAGGCAAGTCCATGGCTCACTGCCAACACTGCGAATGAACCCGGTCACCTCCCTCTTTCTCAATCTAGCGTGCTTTCCTTTTCCCCTCTTTTTTGCACAGTGGAGTGGGCCTCAGCCTTCAGCGGTGCAAGCCAATATTTCATCCTCTTACCCCCCACCCTTCCTCTCCATTTTAGGAATGGCTGTGGAAATACTAGCACACAGACGGCTTCAAGCCTGCCAAAGAGAGCAGGGCGCTGACTTCAAACAACAGATTAATTCTACTGACCTCGACAATTTTAGTCCACGGACATAAACAGTTCATCAAATCTCTTGTCTGACTCGGTAGCTTGATAGTTGAGCTCTAAAAAGAAAGTACAAAGGATTGAACAACTCATAACATATTATAGATAAGAGCCTTGATAGCATGGCTTGGATCCAGATAGAACAAGGGTGTGATCAGCCCATTATCGCAACAACAATAATGTACTTTTATTGACATGCCAGTAATATATTATGCCAGTATTTCTAGATGAAAAATAGCACACTAGCGCATTAAGCTGTCAGTAAGGGATTCTACCAATACTGTTACAGATGATGGCTGCAGTCCAATATATGGATCTGTTGTGAAAAGGCAGATGAGTGCACTGTAATGGGCACAAGGCTGGGTCTGGGAACAACATCAGAAGTCTATAAAGCAGTGCCCTAGAGAGCTCGGGGGGGGGGGGGGGGGGGGGGGGGCTGCTAGGACTCTCAGCCTAGGAATGTGGCACCCTGTCAGGTCTCATACGGATTTATCTCCCTGGAGCCTCATTACAAAAGGCCCTGGAGGCTCTCGCTTGCTTACACTTTTCCCTCACTCGCCCTCAACATCAATCTAGAGCGGCTCACAACCACTGTAAATGTAATGTAAATGTACACAAAACACTTTCTGAAGGATTTTCATATACTTTACTTGAGGCATGGGTGGTCAAGTTCCCATGTGAAGTCCCACCTAAGATCCTTTAATTCTACCAAGGACTAAGTCCTTCATTCAGAATACCTACAATACTATGTGTACAACACATATCCTGTACCTTCAATGAAAACATACATGTACATCTTCAGTTGATTCACCTTGGTAGTTCGCCAAAATCTGTTTCTGAATAAAATGGGACTTACAATGATCAGATTCAAATATTCTGCTTTATTGTCATGCACAGTAGCTCCAGTGTAGATATGGCAATGACAATCTTAAGTCCTTGGCTCCGCCAACAATGCAACATAATAATATATATATACCCACACATGAGATAAAACATTAAAAGTCTACGTATATACAGAAAATAGCCAGGTAAAATGACTGCTTTTTTTAAAAAGGAGTGT